ATATCATTATTTCATATGATGGGCTTGTTTTGAATGGGAAAACACACTTGTTCGATGGTTATATACATTTCCCATATTTAGGACCCTTAGGTGCCAGATATATAGGATGACGTTCAGTAACTAGTTCATCTAAAGGATGAATTAATTTAGAGTGTCAGACTGGAAATCAATAAAGAGATTAGTGGAATCGTTTTCAGAACACCCCATTTTTACTCGTGTTACATCAGTATCATGCAAAACATTTGAAACATGAGAACTGTTTGCAGAAGAAACACTAGTGAACTGATGATGTGGCTTTGTTTTAAGTGTCTTCAAAACACAGGTGAATGTTCTCTCACCATGCTTTGTATAATTTACATCGTCTGCACGCAGTATTTATTGAAACAGTTACAGGACTGTAGCAGTGAGAACAACTTGAAAGCTGGTGTAATCCTGATAAGTTTTATTGATGCGTTTGTAGTCGAGTTTACTGATAGTAGATCCATTAATAGAAGGATAAAAGCAATACATCTTTCATTTGAAGTAATTGTTATTGCAGGTAATCTTATGATTTGATACTACTGGTTTCTGAGGTAAGACTCTGTTGAAAATTTAAAAAAATGTTTTTGTCTTTTTCATTGGGATTGAGGCAATTTGATGTTTGCATATATTGAAAGATCCTATCTGTAATATCAGGGATCCATTACATTCTTGGTTAGTTACTTGGAAATTTGAGACCTTTTTCTTCAGTTGAAATGTTTCTTTGCTTGCATGTACAGTAGGTAGCTCTTGTGAGCATATTACATTTATTCAAGAAGGGAAAGTTCTTCATTAAGTCTAAATATAACATTATTTCTGAAAAATGTGATGTGCTTTTCACCAAAAAAATATGTAGTTTTAAAATACATAAGGATTAAAATAAAATTTCTAACCAATTTATGGTAATAAATTATGGATGGAAATTCAGATAACTGTGCCAACAAGCAGGAAGGCACCTCATCATTAATTTGTTCTTATTGATTTTAAATGAAACACAAATGACAGAGATGGGTTTACTTTTGTTAATTAGTTTTACATTAAGAAATAGATGTTTTTTCAGTAGCCACTTAGAAGATCAAAAGTCAATTTCTGAAGGCATTGTTTGTGTGGAATGAATTTGTCCCATAAATCATGACTGTGTTTGATGAAGAAATCTATAAGTGCAGCTGTGTCTCCTTTCTGGAATAGCTATAATTCAGACTTCCACTACTGCCTCTGGATATGTGATAAATGACATAGTAAGGAGATGGAAAAAAGAAATACTGCCTTTATTTGGAGTGCCTAGACTGCATGAATTACAGCATCAGGCAATTCTTTTTTGGAAGTATATCGTCACTTCATTTATATTATTGCTGTTAGATTTTCATATCGACTGGTTTTAGATCTGGCAAGAAAAGATTTATTTATCCCAGAATGTCTTGAGTAACCTGTTCACTTAGAGATTGGGTAAAGGAAGGTGCTTTTTGGGAGGTAAGCTTAGGAAGTAGCTGATCTTTATCAGGAGGACTGAAAAGATTGTAAGCACAGAATTTTAGAGGTTAAAGAAGAATGTGTACTGTTAGAAATGTTGGTTAGGTAAAATTTACCCAGCTTTTTGTTTCGTTCTTTACAATTGTGATAGAATTTGAGTAGGTTTTAGGACTGACATAGGTCAATTACTGCTTTAACACTATACTGAGCCATTTTCATAGTCTAAGAGAGCATTCAGATAAATCCAGCGTTCTAGCTGGATCGATCCAACTCTGCAAGGATTCTTGCATCAGTGCAGTCAATATAATCAGCTTAATTGTCTGACACGCCTCCTTGACCAGCAAGGGGATAATGAACTATGGTTTGTGCTTGGCTCTCAGAAGCTCTTTCACTTGAGGAGGTGTGTCAGACAACTAAGCTGGTTTCACTGAATGCACTTAGGTTAGAATTCCAGGTTGGTCCAGCTAGTATGATGGGTTTATCTGAATGCAGCTTTAGAGGAACAGATGATCTGCAGACTTAGACCGTATTCACATCGAGTTGAGCCAGGCTTTACAAATCCTGGGACTTAATATGGCGGACGTACATGAAAGAAAAACGGCCTAATCTTTTAATAGTCTCTCTGCCTCTCACACGCCTCCCCACGCGTCATCCCTGCGGGGGTACAGTCATTAAATCTCGGCTCCATTGGGACGACACATGTGGAGGCGTGTGAGAGGTGGGGAGACTATTAAAAGATTAGGCGGTTTTTCTTTCATGTACGTCCGCCATATTTAGTCCTAGGATTTGTAAAGCCTGGCTCAACTCGTTGTGAATGCGATCTTACTGATTCAATGACTAAATATGGCCGACCCAACTTCAAAAGCAATGCCGCTAATGCTCGATGGTCTCCCTGCCTCCACATGCCCCATTAAACGGATTAAATCTCGGCTCTGAGATTTAAATTGCTAGACCCCTGCAGTGATGGCACGTGTGGAGACTGGGACACCATCAGGGAATTAGCAGCATCACTTTTGAAGTGGGGTCGGCCATATTTAGTCAGCGGGTCACTTAGTCCGTGGATCATCTGTTCTGAATGTGCCCTTAGGCAAATTTCATATCATGCAGAAAAGTGTGAGAAATTGACAACTCGATAGCCCAGATATATGCTTGACCAGATAAACTGGTGAACTGGATAAATTTTAGTGGTACATTTGGGCTTGTCTTGGCCCCAAAATATATTTATATTTATCTTCTATCCCAGGGCTTGTGAAAAAGAATAACCCCTTCTCATTCTATGTAGATCAACCCACCTCTGCGGGTACTCTTGCTGAATGCAATCAGATAAACATGTCTTTTGTTTCCAATGCACTCAAAAGTATCACCAGCTTTTCTGTATTTTACTCGATGGTAGGAGGAGATATGTTAAACTGTTATTATGACTGCATTCAACCATATGCCCAGTGGAATTGTAGATTTATAGTTTTATTGGGAATGAACTATAGTTTTATTGGGAATGAACCCTTATATAATGTCCTTTATACTCAACAAAATAGCTGGCAAAACATAATTAAGTGAAGAATAAGCTCTCAAGTCTGCAGAAGGGTGGAATCTTGGAAGCTTAGGTCTTATTTCCTGGAAATCAGTTATCAAAATCTCTAGCTAGATTGGATTGTTCAGTGGAAGTGCATATTTCAGAGTAAGATTTCCAAGAATGTTAAAGAATTAAGGATTGGTAGTTTTTGTCTAGGGAGTCTGTCACCTAGGCAATCTGTGTGCTTTTTTTACAACATTCTCTTGTACGAGTAACCTACTGCTGAGCTAGTGAACACCTGATTCTTACATGTGACTGATGTTATGAAGGGAATGCCACAGAGTAGTGTATGTGAACATGTCTTTAGTCATTCATGCAAATTTTTTGAAAAAGAAGAGTTTGGACAATGTAAAATTCGAATAATGAAGAAATGAACTGTAGAATAATACATTAACATTACTGGTAGCAAATATTCCTTTGTCGAGTATATATATGTTGAGAATATAGTAAATATATATGAATGCATTATAAGGAGTTTTCCATTAATTTGAAAATGTGCCTAGAAAGGGTTGCCATTAACCGAAATGTTGTCCTTTGTCAGCTGTTCTTATGATGTCATTAGTGGTATATATTAGTCTCAAAGAGGTGATTGAAACACAGATGGGTTTGTCAGCATGGAACTGTTGTGAGTCAGCTGCTCCATGTTTTCTTTCTTGTTTCCTCATGCTCTTTACTCTCCGCCTCTGTCTGTGAAAGACGCATAAAGTGTTACCTGCACATGGTCCTTTGGGCTGAGCTTGTCATCTAGACACATGCGAGGGTGTGAATGCAGCTGCTGTTGTTCCAGTCCAAAACACCCTTATTGTCTCTCATCTCTGCTCTTACTTACTTATGCCATCCATTATTCACGTAGCTGCAAAAGAAAGTGGCGATCTCTAAGAATTGATTGAAGATGTAATCTTCAAATTCAGTGGCTCTTTTAAAGATTTATGAGCAACTTTTGACATATTTGAGACAGAATATTATCCGATTTCTCCAGGAATTGACAACTAACTCAACAGCTGAGTTTATTTATTGATTTGGGAATAGTAGATATTGTGAGAACTTTAAAAGAAACTGAGCATTATTATAAAGACTGCAAATAGGACTGAAAAACAAGTAAAATTCATTAAGCATGTTTCTAGAGGCTAGACGTGGTATTTGGTGGCAGCGTCTAAAAAGACTGTATTTCTGATTATGGTAATTGGAGTAACAAGGTTGTCAATTAAGTCAACATTTGCATTGGCTCGTAGCTCATTTGCCGTAAGAGGTAAGAACACGTGCAGCTAGGTGAGACACCTGGTGTTAATTTTGCTGAACATGAAAAATGGAAAGCAGCAATCTTTATTTTGAGCATAGTTGCAAAGAAAAAAGGGGTCAGGAGCAATAAAGACAATTTTGACGGCATAGGGTCTTTTTCAGCAGGTATTGCAAAAACAAGCAGTTAGCTATATTTATGGTCATAAGTTTTTTATTCATTTGTATGCTCTTGCAATAGTTTTTGAGAAAATACCTTTTGAACACTTTTTTTCATGCATAGATATTATTTTACAAGATACAATCCTGCAAATCTAATGGATTTGTACAAAAGCAGTTTAAAAATATGGCCAAATGCACTTACTTTGCAGTAATCTTCTACACTAGATTACTTCAAGTGATCTTATCATGATAAAAGATATTGAAGGAAGTGAAGAACGAGGAACTGAATAAGTTACCAGCAAACAAATGCTGAAGTTTTAATTAGAACTGATAATTTCTATGTTGATTAAATGCTTGATTTGTGCTTTTCTGTCTCCTTATGTGTGCTAGTTTATCAAGACTGTAAATGAAACCAAGACTTCATCAATTGATTTTTTATGAGCTTGAGGTAAGGTTATTATCCAGTCTAGTCAGTATTTCCATCCATTTTCTTCTACTTGGTGCTACTGCTCAAAAAGACATTTAATGATACATTTTGCAGGAGCTGGAGGTAGGAAAAGTCCAGTAAGGAGACATTACTCTGCAGCAGATATGTTGGTTACAATGGAGACAGATATAGAATCACAGCTCTTGGAGGTGCGGCGGCGGCCAAGGTCTGAAGGATGCTGTTATGTTGGCAAATTCAGTCCAAAGCGTCTCTCAAGTTTTGGAGTGAGTATCATCATCATTCATTATTGAAATTTTCATATCCTGCCTACACAGTGTCACAGGGATGATAGCAAGACAGGGAGTACATGGTGAAATGCCTCTCACGGAGAGTATAATGCCTCTCACAGAGAGTATAAAATGACAAAAAAAAAATTTAATCACATTATCCTGGACTTTTTTACTTTCGGGCATTTGGACGATAAACATACAGCGCATGCTTATAAAACAATGAAATATTGTGCTGCTCACATAGGCTGACATCAATATAAATTATCATTGCAATAGTTGACAAGAAGAATGATATGTCATCACTTTAATTGCATGCGCTGCATGTTTATCATCCATAATACTATAGAAACATAAATTTGCATATAAATGCTAAAATATGCTTCAAAATGTTTTATTTAAATTATTTAAAACATTTAGTTTTCTGGGTTTCAGCTGTGCCCATGATATATAAAGCAGCTTTAATCTTCTTAAAATTGTACAATAGCTATTAGAGGAATGTATTTTATATATTCACATCATACGTAAGTCCAGGATAATTTTGTCATTTAAGGCTTTCTGTGAGAGTTAAACACTACATAACCTTGCAAAGGCATTTCACATCACATTGTAATCAATATGTCAATGCTTTACCTGTGCTGGCAGTGACATTCCACCTGGTATATAACTCCCCCAATATTAGGGTTACGTTTACAATGGGTAAAATACGACAGACAGACCTAATAAGAAAAAGGGGTATAGATCTTATTGACTTTAAGTCCCCATAAATTTAACTTCCCCTTTTAAAGTTAAACCCACTTCATACAGATATTTGCATGTTTTCTAGTCTCTAAGATAGCCCCCCTCCCTGGCACCCACACCTGGTCATACCATAATATTGGACAGCCTGTCTGAAAATCCTGGCAAAACCCTGGATAAAAGCCATTAAAAATTGGGAAAATATATGAGTTTACAAAAAATATGAATATCTTAGATATTTAATAGTATACTAGTAAGGATCTATCATTCAGAATATCATAACTATCTTTCCTATTTTGTATAGCAGTGCTGCATGTTACCCAGCTTTTGGTTTTTTTAGTTGTTCTGGTAGGTGCTCAGAAAATAACAGTGAGCATGCATTAGATTGACAAGGATGAAACTTCTCTAGGGATTTCCTTGAATAGATAAATTGTTTTTTATGCAAATGCCTTAGTTCAATTTTCCCTTTGCTGATGTCATCTAAAACAACCTTCATTAAGATGCAGGATTCCTTTGAAAAAGAAAGCCAGTAGAGCACCAAATAAAATGCATGACTTGCACCACAAAAGCATCTTAGCAAATTGGATTTAGTCACTTAATTGGACGTTATTGGGAATAGGCACTAAATTTGTAGAGCTGTATGCAATTAAACCATTGTCAGTAGTTTCCAGTGGACTGTACTGGATGAGGAAAACAAAATTAAAACGTGAGAGAAACTTATTACTTATCCAGTGACATTTGGTCTTAAGAGAAATGGATGAATTCAGAAGATGGGCCTTAACAAGAATTAGATGATTGCCTGGCATGGATTTAACCACATAAAAATTACTGTCTGTCACATCTGTGATTACAGTGACTCAGTCCTGCTCTATGGGATATGAAGTTCCTTTTTCCATTAAATTTGTTTCTATTTCTGTCCTATAAAGAATCTCTTTGGTGACATTTCAGTCCATATTTTTATTCTCTCTCAGGAAAAATAAAAAATAAATAAATAAATAATAATAATAATAATAATAATAATAATAATAATAATATAATAAAAAAAGTTCCTCTTTAACTCAGTGGTACACAATGCTGATAATTATCTCATTTCAATTATTTGAGAGAAATACTTTTGATGCTCAGTATATACACTTTATAATTGGTTTTAAATCAATTTTCAGCTTGATTCTCCATTTGGAAAAGCAGATGCCTATGAAAAGCTAGAAAAGTTAGGAGAGGGCTCTTATGCTACAGTGTACAAAGGTCTTAGCAAGTAAGTCAATGCATAATATATTGGAAATTGATATAGTTTGATCATTATTAAAATATCTTTATAAAATAAAAGCTTGAAAATTGGTATAGTTGGATTCATACTTTGAAACCATTTTATTGTAATCTTTTATTGTGAAAATTCTCACTTGTGGAAACTGCATATTGTGCACAGCATATTGTGTTGTAAGAACATGCACTTTGTCAATACTCTAATGCTATCAATTTTTCAAATCTTTTTTGTAACATTTTCTAAAATATCAAACTCCCAACTGACACATTTATAATTTTATCATTGTCAGAAACAAATGAAAGATTTCCCAGAGTATTTCATTATGAAGACTGGTTTATTTTAATGATATTATAGATATGATGATTTTTGTAATTCCAGCTTAACAAACCAGATAGTGGCATTAAAAGAAATAAGGTTGCAAGAAGAGGAAGGTGCTCCCTTCACAGCCATTAGAGAAGGTGAGATACCAGTGTTATAATGCTACAGTTTATGAAATGAGTTGTCCAGTGTGTGCCATAAACAAGACATTAGGTTTATTATCTTCACAGTGATTGTTTTAAAGGACTTAAATGGAATGGACCTTGTGAAATATAATCTTTAAGTTTGATGAGTCTTTTCTTCACCGTTTGTATCTTTCACTTTATTTTCTTTTTAGCATCCTTGCTCAAGGGTCTCAGACATGCAAACATTGTGATTCTCCATGATATTATCCACACCAGAGAATCATTAACTTTTGTATTTGAATATGTGGTATGTAAACTTTTTGATATGTGGATTCTGTTACTAATATGATAAAGTGCACATTAAATTACAACCTAATTGCAATTCTGTAACTATCTCTTTTCTTAAATTATGATAGGCAAATGATTCTGTTTTTGTTTGAAAATATGAAACTAAGTTTCAGTGTGTGGCACAATGCCCATTTTGAAAATAATCAAAGGTGCCATGTAAAAAAACTCCTTTAAGGTTGTTATTTAAATTGCAAAATATCGCAGCATACCTAAGTGTGTTTGTTTTTTGTACAAATTTCAGCATACAGATCTAAGTCAATATTTAGAGAAGCACCAGGGAGGATTAAATCCCCTTAATGTAAAGGTAAGCAATACATTGATGATAGAGTCTAGGATTAATTACTATGTGTCCATTACATCTTTAAGTCCAGCTGCGATAGAAAAACACAAAAAGTTAACTGTATGTTAAACTAGATAGACAAGTGTATAAAATCTGTGTAAAAAATAATAAAATGTAATTAAATTGACCAGTAATGACTTTTGGGCACATAATTGATAATTTTAACCCATTTTTATAGCAGCTGGACTTTAAAGCAAGGTGTGGTAGTGAGATGGTTCTTGTGAAGATAGATAGATGGCTTTTAGATATGATGCATTATTTTTCTTAGTCTGAGCTAATTTATACCTTGATCATACAGGATTTTGGTTTGAAAAATAGTAATAAAGTTGCAACAATTGATGACTATTACTTTTATTTTATAAATGAAGAAATATCCTACAAATATACCTTTTTAAAGAACTGAAGTAATACATTTTATTTCTAGTTATTTTTATTTCAACTACTACGAGGGCTTTCATACTGTCATCAACGGAGGATACTTCACAGGTGAATATTAAAAGATATTGAAGTTGTGTGAGGTACATCTTTAAAATAAGTGTCATATCAATAATTATTGAAAAACTTAAATTGGTAGGAATTTTTTTTTTCAGTGTAAATCCCCGATGAGCTTATGTGTTTTTTCTCTCATGATTTTATCTTTCTATTAATCTGTCTCTCTCTCCCTCTACAAAATAAAGATATTAATGGCACTGCAAAAGATAAATGATTTCATAGGGGCACAAGGAATTGACAGTGCAGACCTTGCATTCTATTTTTTTGAATCCCCAATGAAATAGTAACTAGGGGATTTTACCTCTATTTGTGAATTCAGGAGGGAATTTAAATGCCAGCGCCAGTAAGGCTTTAAGATTGAATTTTCACAGAAGATTAAGTACTCTGTTGTTGTATTTTGATTTAACTATGGTGAACTGAAAATCTTCTGAAAGTTGAATCGATTTTTTAAAGAATATTTTTGCATCATTTTGTATAAACTTACTTAAATATCTGTACTGGCCATATGTTGAAGATGCAAAATTCATTACTATTTGATCAATTTGCAGGGATTTGAAACCTCAGAACTTGCTCATTAGTGAAGTAGGGGAGCTGAAATTGGCAGATTTTGGTAAGTTATTATGTCACCTATGGACAGGGTGGGGTGAAGTGGGGTAAATCTACCATGGGAATCATATTTACTTTTATGATTTATTTTAATATATTTGATTTTTATTTTGATCAAGATTTGCAGTTTACACATATTTTAAATTGAAATTTTGCTGCAGTTTTCCATTGAGCTCCTTTCTTATATGAAAATAAATAGTCCTCATTATGCCAATGTGTGTGCACCTATTTCAACTACCATACCCATTTTCATTTGTTATCTTTTCTCCTTTTTTCAGGCTTAGCTAGAGCCAAGTCAGTCCCCAGTCGCACTTATTCCCATGAAGTGGTAACACTATGGTATAGACCCCCCGATGTATTATTAGGGTCTACAGATTACACTACATCTTTAGATATATGGTAAGTCTGCTGATAGGTGGATACTGTTCTTGCTGAGAGGTCATATATTTTAATGACTATACATTTTAATGTTTTAATATGTTAAATTATAATTTTAATATGTTAAAACATATTTATTGTTGATTAAGTAAAATTGTTCTAGTTTAATTATATATATATATATATATATATATATATATATATATATATATATATATATATATATATATATATATATATATATAATTTGAGTTGGTTTGAAAGATTTGTGGAGAAATAAATATATCTTGGAAGAAGTAAATTCAGGTTCCCTTTGTTTATCCTGATGTTGGGCTGACTACTCAGTCTATATTAAGTCATATGAGTTAATATTTATTTTGTTTGTGTATTTTTTTTCTAGGGGTGTAGGTTGTATCTTCACAGAGATGATATCGGGTGTGGCCACTTTTCCTGGGATGAAAGATGCATTTGATCAGTTAGACAAAATATGGCGGGTAAGCATGCATCTTGGATGAGAGTACAGCTGTACTTTTTCATTTAAACTGTGTTCTTCTGTATATTACTATGTATTATTGCACTGGAAGTATGTGCGTTACATATACTATGTTTGTAATACATAAATAAAACTTAAATTGTAGATATTGGGAACTCCAACAGAAGAGACATGGGAAGGTGTTTCAAGGTTTCCAAATTACAAAAAAGGTGAGAATCTTTTTCTACTTTCAGTGCACATGAATTTATAAAACTTGTTCATTTTTTTCTTCTTTTTCATAATGTCATGTAGTTAAGGCTTATTAAATTTCTTTTATGGGATTAAAAACTTTTATTATAACATTTGTTCATTTAACTTCATTACCAACAGAAATTGCCAGTGCTTAGCAAGGAAACAATTATACAAAAATTGAACAGCTGGATTTATTCCTTTTTTTTTTGGAAAGAAAGGAACCACAGTTTTTCTGCATCGTGTTACACTGAAGGCAAATTTTACTTAAATGTTTCAGAAAATGTTTTGATATGTGGAATATTTTCATTTTAGGCAAATTTTACAAGTATTCCAGACAGCGTTTGTCCCAAGCCATTCCTAAGCTGGGCCTTGTGCGCCATGCCGAAGACCTGGCTAACCACTTCCTACAGGTAACATTGCTTAACCCAGGCCGTTGAATTAACTGGATTTCCCCATTTTTATATACAGACACTAACTTGTTACTTGGTTAAATCCAATTTGTATAGCAGAATAAATGGATTTTGCTTCAGTTTTATAGCAGTTTAGTTGGTTAAGTAATAGCATAAAGATCACATAGAGCTTACATTTAAAAAAACCTTTCATTGTTAACCTGATAATTTAATATTGTAGATAATGACTTTAATAATCTTATGACAAGTATTTTTATGATATTCCACAGAGAATGATATTTCTAAGACATTCTAAGTCATAAAGTGAACAACAGATGTAACTGTTGGAGTAACTAAATTTTTTTTTTTTTGTAGTTGGACTCTGCCAAAAGGATCTCAGCAAAAAATGCCATGTATCATGATTACTTCTCAGATCTTCCCCCAAGGATACATGAGCTCCCTGATGGTACTGATTTTGTTCCAATATAGATGATGTCCTATGTTTTATACTGACTTTGTATTGATATCATGGTGCAACATTTATGATTGTCATAATAGAAAAAAATGTTGGTATTTTTATAGAATTTGCTTAAGGATAACCTATATTGTGTACTCGTTCAGTGAACAGCATGGCAAACATTTAATGCAGCAAAAGCAACTTTATAGATGAGATGATAGTTGATCTTAAAATGTTTTGATATGAACTAAAATATTTTGATTCTGTTGATAAACAAGTCAACTTCCATTGTCTTATTTTAGAGTTTTGAAAATATTTTCCATTAATTTCAGTTGCCTCAATATACACCATTCCTGGGCTACGTCTGGTACCAGAAAAAGACCAATTACTCAGACCCACAATAAGGACTAACCCACACATGAGAACAGCAAGCCAGAAAGTATAGTATTATCCAGCACTAGGTAGGAATCATTGGTAGCTTTAGAAATTTTATCTTGTATCAAAATGCATATAGTGTCAGTTAGTGAGTTATATTTCTTTCAACATATTAATTTCATGACTTACCATATCTTTCCTTTTAAGTTATTCTTATAAGATTAATTTGTAAAATTGCTTCATGCCAGCCTTGAACGATCTTCTAGTTATTTTTGTTGGAATGCATTTAAAGACACCAATAATACTTTAAAATTTTGTATCATGACTGAAGAAGTATGACTCACTCTGAATCACCTCAATATGAAGATTACAGGAAATTCTAAAAAAAAAGTTAATTACTTTAAATACATGGGAATTCTATCTGTCAACATTAATCTAAAGGCAGCAGTAAATTTAAGAAAAATGACAGATACCAATGACTCAGATTGGTTAATTTGAAAATGTGAACTTTCATATTTTCCAGGTGATCCCAAGGTGGACCCCTTGTAACACAGGGTTAGGACCCCATGATTCTAGGGTCAGTGATGACAAACATTGGAACATGGGACATCAATGCAACAAAACATGGCCTATAGTGTAGCAGTATTTCAGTGGTCATTTGAAGAGAATTAAATTTTCTCTACCTAGTATTCAAGAATCTAAGTTTTTAAGGCCATCACAGCTGAGCTGATGTGATTTGTTGTGGACAGTTAATGTGTTTTTACACATTTGATCTGATTGTTGTTTTAAAGAATTCTTATTAGGAAAAACTGTTCTCAGAATCAAGAGCGCTTATCAGTTTGGATTTTCAAATGCTGAGAAGTCAAAGGTCAAAATTAATTCAGGGATGAGTGATGCAGAAATTGTGGTCAAACTTACTACTGGGACTCGAGCGGGGATGCCATGACTAACTTGGAAGATTTATTTTCTGAAAATAATAACCTCTGTGAAAGACTTTGTGAGGATAACATGAATATTTTCAAATATGTACAGTGGGCATTTCATTATAATTATAAAAGGGTTTTATGTCTACAATTTATTGAATTGGAAAGAAAGCGTTGGGATCCTGCAATTTGAGAGAATGCATACAGACCTTGCTCTGGAAATAATTAAATGTTTAAAAAAAAATCACTATCACTGTTTAAGGCACACCAAATGAGTTGATTTTTAAAGTCAACTGGTGCTATCTACAAAATTTTTTTTATGCTCAGAATAAGATTGTACACAAGAAAAACGATCTTCCCAATCTTGGAAATTGAATGATGGTGTATCATCTACTAGTATGTGAATGTGTAAACTACCATCAGCTATTATTGTAATACTTCCAGTCTTGTGGTCCAGAATCAAAGAAGTTCACTTTAGATATCAACTTCATTAGCAATGTACAATTTGTGGACAAGGATTTTTGTCACCAGTGTATTTAAGGAGCTTATTTCTCACCAGAATCTTTAGTTAGAGTGCCCTTAACCCCTCTGAGACTACCTGTGCCAAATGTTGTGGTCCCATGTGTCGTGTGGACTGATGCCAGGTGCAATCCTGCCATTCTTCATTTAATGCATCAGTTTCCCCATCAAGGATTTCTTTTCCATTTTTCTGCCAAAACTGTCATATTTTGGTCCTTTCTATCTCATAAACAATTATGAATATTTTATGTTCAGCTGGTTGAGAAAGTATGTGTTCAAGAGTGAATAACAATTTTAGTTTTACAGATAGTTTTACAGATGAGCTGGAATAATTTCACCATGCTTATAATGATACATAGTTAGATTTGGTTGAAGAGGAGCACTTTTAGTGGATCTGTAGTGCAAATGCATTTTTGGAATCTTGCACTTTTTTGAGAGGGTGGTTACGGAAAGTACATAGATTGAATTGTATTTAATTTATCTGAGATGGATGGTTATTTATCATAGAGTATGTTTTGAAAATAATAGATTTCCGTTTATAACAAGACCATGTCACATAGACACATCTCCTGGCTAAAATAAAAAGGATAATAGGGACACAACTTAATTTTAAAGTTTATTTATACTAAATATAAATTACATCACTTGATGGTAGGTACAAGAGCAAGAATGTTTGTTATGAAGGAAGTTCTTCCTTTTGTGCAGTCACAGTAGAATATACTAGTGAGTTTTGCACAAGCTTTACTTAAATCACTTCAGTGGAGTAATCTTTCCTTCTCCTTTTTAATCTTTTTATGTTTCCATACTATATTTTAATATAGTAATGTAATGACAGAACATACAATACCAAAATTAATGAAACTATTACAGGTGAACATGTGACAAAATTACTTGATAATCATTAGTAAAATATGCAAGCATAGAATCCATCTTAGGTAGATGTCATGGATCCGAACAAAAATGCTTTGAGAGTGTTGAATATTTTTGGCAGAAAACTACTTGCTTATTGGCTACAGTATTTCAAATATAATTAAATTTAGGTGCTTGCTTGGCTCATTAGATAAATGTAACAAAATATGTTAATTCAAAATGTGATATTTTGAAATGTCTGTGACGCAAATGCAGATGAGGCAGTAGAGAACCATGAGGGTATATTTATTGTGCATCCATGTCGGTTATTTAACTGACAGCTGTCTATTGTTTGTGTGAAACCAGCTTCAACAATGAGATTTTTGCATGATCGTTTTCTTTTCCTTGTTTACCAATTCATGTATCATGCAACTAGATGCCAAATGGTGGTTGAAATTTCACAGAGAGCTCAAAGCATAAGATATCTTTTGAAGTGTTACGTTAGGAGTATGATATTTAAAAGTGATGCACTGAAAGCTCACCAGACATTTCTATGTTCTCAGCAGAGTTGAAGCTTTCCATGTTCATGGTGCCATATTAAGTGGTCCCCATAATTTTACATACTTGTACCACAGTGTGGGTAAATGCTTTTTGAGATGCATCAGATGGTGTGAAAAGCAACTGGTTGCAAGTTTTTTTAATGCTGCTCATCTGTTGCTATCTAGTTAACTTGTCTTATTTTACTATAGTCTATAGAGGCTGTATGAAACCAGTGAGAGAAACCATATTGAAAGGGTAATATCAACAAAAATGTGAATACAAGATGAAAAGAAACAATCACAATAGTTCACATATATATGTCTTATTCACAGACTGTATAGATTATTAGTGTGTTCAGCACACATATGCATCGACTTCTATATATATATGGTAACATACCTTATGAACTTGACTTGCACAGCAAAGTATGTAAAATGCATAAAATTGATAATAAAGACAGATCATATGTAAACATTATGAACTTCTTGATATAAGTGGGATATTTAATCTGAAGGTTATGTTTGCAACATTTAAAAAATCATGATTGTGCTAGGGGATCCTCAGACGCATTTTCATAAACAGCTTTAGACCGAGAATGGCATACGGGAAGAATCGACTCTGAAAATGAAAAGAAATTAAAGGTTGCCTAACATTTGATTTGCTTACCGTTTTGGACCTTTATTATTTTTTAAAATTGAAATCCACAGGATAAGCGATAAAATTTTAAAAAGTATCGACGCAATATTGGAACCCCAGGGGCTAATATTAGCGCATATGAATAGGTGGACATTTCTTAGGTATATAATAGCGGATGAATAAATGACGAAAGTAATTCTTAATTACCGTTTATTTCTTTTATGTAAGCAACAAACCAAATTCCTGAAAGAAACTGAGCCCTTTGCAAATTTACGTGTGGTACTACCCGCGCGAAAAGTCAAACAATGGAAATTGAGAGAATAATGAAGACGGTAATCCCCGAATCGAAATAAAGAACTCACATGGCTTCAGCTCCCTTATTTGACACTGAGCAAATTTAGTCAGTTGATTCAAAGTTCTGACACTGTTTAAGTAGGTTATATTTGCTAAAATGATGGCCATGACAACAGCCACAATGATAATTGACTCCTGGGGGTATATGGCGGATCAGGAGATTAACGGGAATATTGGAGATAAGGTGCCTTTGTGTAGATTCCTCTGTGAACAAAACAGAAGTAATGCGTTATTTATTTATTTATGAAAGATAAACAGTATCGTAATAGTTATGAAGCCATGTTTACGTCAAATTGTTCTTGAGAACATTCTACTCAGTAACTTATATTCATTTTCTCCACCGTCTGTAAAAAAAAGTGACAAGATAACGAACGGTAATATTTTGTCTCTAGTTCACATTCGCGCAAACATATTTGTATGAAAAGACCAGTCGCATTATCTAAATCCTCCCGGTGCAACGTTTGCCGTGTCAAAGCAGTAGCGGCAAGAGTAACGTGTACTTCCCCCAGGCCAGGTAGCATTAGCGGCATAGAAGACAAGAGGTCAGGTAATTTAACGACCACCACTGCTGGCATAGCAGTCTCTTCACTTGCTTCAACGGCGACTGTATGGGAAGCCATGCATAAATCGCGACATTTAAGATTATTGCTTCCAGCTTGTAAATAATCACAACTAAATGCGATTAGAAAGTAGCTACCAAAAAGCTACACGAAAAATTGGGAAAACAGCGACAAGAAGACGGCTGACAGATGTCACTCGGAAATGTTCAATAAACAGCGACATGTCACCATGTCGTTTATTTGACTTTATCGCCTGGAAGATCCATTGTCAGGACCCCAGGTGCACTGTGTCAACTGATCATTACAGTGGTCACCTGGTACTCCTAAATCGTAAAGAAAACACTGGAATAATAATATGGTCTGCAGCACACAGCCGCACTAATTAAAATCCTTTTAACTGATAGTGTATCGCACCCTCGATCATGCTATTTCAGCGAGGCTTGGTGGGCACTTTTTAATCTCACCTCCGGAATTTACGCCTTAAATCTGACAAGTAAAGTAAGCTTTTGCAAATTTACGTTTTCCACAGGAGAAAAAACAAACTTCCTCTCCTAATGAACGCTTTCTTTTGCATTGAGAACTTAAAGCTTGTATTTGTTCACCCGGAGGGAGTGTGGAGGAATAGCTGTAATGTAAATCATGCCTAATTGGGAATCAACCAATCAACGAGCGACTTAAAGATAACATTATGAACTTCTGGTAGCTGATTGGTTCAACAGTGTTAAGATACCCCATAGCCTATGGTTCAGATTTCCACTGTGCAAATATGAAAATGTAAAGAGGCATGGCAAGGTGATCTCGACACTGACTCTACATGTTTTGTCTGTTTCAAAGTGTCGTACAAAGGCAGCCATGATTCGGAGGGGAGAGAAGGTCGTTTGATTCAGTTTGAAGGATTTACTTATATATTCTCGGGTAAGGATAGTTTCAAATGACTTAAAAGGAGCACAGTATCGTGATCGATTTGAAGGAAAGATAATCGAACTGAAAATGGAGAGGTTTGCGGTGAGTGGGATCGTGTTGATTTTGGTTTCTAGTTGGATCGTAATGACTGAAGCTCAATTTTCCGTCGATCAACCAGAACACGGACGTTGTGAGCCAATAACTATCCCTCTCTGCAAAGATATCCAGTATAACCAGACTATAATGCCTAATTTACTAAACCACCAAAAACAAGAAGAAGCGGGCTTAGAAGTTCATCAGTTTTTCCCTTTGGTCAAAGTGGATTGCAGTCCAAGTTTAAAATTCTTCCTCTGCACAATGTACGTTCCCGTGTGTACTGTTTTAGAGTCAGCCATCCCGCCGTGCCGGTCGCTCTGTGTTCAAGCTAGACATGGCTGCGAAAGCCTCATGAATAGGTTCGGGTTCCAGTGGCCCGACGCCTTAGACTGTGACAAGTTTCCTTCGTCGGGTCTCTGTGTTGGAGAGAATTCTACGGAACCAGTGGACCCTGTAGTATCAACTACTCCAAGGAGTGGTGTTGTCACCACAAGATCACCACCAAACCCTGACGGTGGTGGCAAAGACAATACTGATGACAAGGGCAGTAATACTGATAACCAGGATAACCATACAGAGACTTCCAATCAGTTTAAATTTGGTACCTGTCCTGAACCATTCCAAACAGGACCAGGGACAAATTATCGTCTAAGAATCGATGGCCATACTGAATATGATTGTGGTGCTCCATGTAAATATATGTTTTTCACAGATGACTTTGAGAAAACCTTTTCGCGAATTTGGATTGGAACATGGTCCATTCTGTGCATTGTTTCCACGTTATTTACTGTACTCACCTTCTTGGTAGACATGCAGCGATTTCGTTACCCAGAACGCCCGATTATCTTCCTTTCTGGATGTTACCTCATTGTTGCAATAGCATACTTAACTGGATTTATTATACAAGATGAGGTAGTGTGTAATAGTTTTAGAAGAGATATTGAAATAGAATCACAAGATGAGAAAGGTACACCAATTAGAATCACGGACACAACCAATACTGTGCCATTTGTCACTCAAGGTACCAAGAAAGAAGGTTGCACCATTTTATTCATGATGGTTTATTTTTTTGGCATGGCTAGCTCAATCTGGTGGGTGATTCTCACACTGACATGGCTCCTGGCAGCAGGAATGAAATGGGGACATGAGGCTATCGAAGGAAATTCTCAGTATTTTCATCTGGCTGCCTGGGCTGTCCCAGCAATCAAAACAATAGCAATTTTAGCAATGGGGAAAGTTGAAGGAGATGTTCTGAGTGGTGTTTGCTACACTGGAATCTTTGACACTGACGCCTTAAGAGGTTTTGTCCTGGCACCTCTAGTTGTGTACTTACTTATTGGAACTTCTTTTCTCCTAGCAGGATTCGTCTCTCTATTTCGTATTAGGACTATTATGAAACATGATGGCACGAAAACAGACAAACTAGAAAAACTCATGGTGCGAATAGGAATTTTTTCAGTATTGTACACCGTGCCAGCTACAATAGTAATAGCATGTTATTTCTATGAACAGACTTTCCGTGATGACTGGATGAAGTGGTGGTATAGCACCAAGGCTTGCATAGCCTACATATTTCCCTGCCCAAGTGTCTACAGTTCATCCAAGCCAGACTTCATTGTATTTATGATTAAATACCTTATGACCCTTATAGTGGGAATCACATCAGGATTCTGGATATGGTCGGGCAAAACTATTGACTCTTGGAAGAGATTTTATTCAAGGATTTTTCTCTCCTGGTGCAAAGAACGAAGCCATGGTGTGATGCTTGGCAACATGACGTGATGTTATAAGAAGGCGCTTTGAACAACTTCACATGTTTACTGTCTTTTTATCATTATAGTTATTGTTACTGATAACATGTTTTATATACAGAATGTATTCCGCCAGTTTTGAACAGCTTGCATGACTTCTCTAAATAACAAGATGCACTTTGTTTTTACAGAGAGAATATGGGTGTTTCTACAGAGATAAATAGAATGTCTGTTCAGTTTCATTTAAGTCAACACTGCATTGAAAGTTACACAGCGGTATACCTGTAGTTCATCCTCTAGGTACTGTCTGTCTAGGCAGGTGAACTGTTGCAATGCTCTGCAGCTGGGAAGGGATGTTACACATTGATCTAAGCAGAATATGTAAAGCTGGTATACAAACACACTGAAAGTTCGGAAACCCAGCGTTTTAATTTGTTTGGAAGATGGCATCAAGGTATGGTGAAGATTAATTATTGACCAGTGGTCAAGATATAGTTCATTAAGTTTAAGTAATCCATGAACAGCTGGTCACCTGGGAACCTGTATGTTAATGCTATGAGCACTGGATTGACCACACGGTGGACACAGGATGACAAGATGTGGAACCACATATAATTAAGGTTATACTTTGTATGAGATATATTGTGGTCATATCAGATTGAAATTTGGTGGGTGTATCTCTAATTATAGGTGCTTGGTATGGCATGTTTCATGTTCAAATAAGACTTTCACCTGACATGCTATTATGGGACCCAGATCAGCAGCTGTTTACAAGAGTTGTAACAAACAGATACATTCTTTATAATTTATAGTTTATTACATACAAATGTTAATACATTAATTCAATGTGCCTGCCTTCAAATAGATCATGCCCACCCATGATGGAGAGTGAATTACTAAATTCGGGACTAACCTTATAATACATTTTGTTTGAGCAAAATTCTGCCAAAACTGATTACTTGGGGAGAAAATGTTTGAAATATTTATCATTTTCTTTAGCCATAGTGAATTATCTTAAATCATTTTTCCAAAAAATGTATGTGTTAGTGTGGGCCTAGATGCCAAGTAGATCACTCCCTACTTGGAAGCAGCAAAGGTTTGGAGTTGCTTTAAACAAATTAAACATAATGCTGCTTTCACTGTGGAACCCCTGTTGATATCAAAACTTCCAAAGTGTCACTTAGATTGAACAGATAGGACTGAGCCTGAGAAATCCCAGCTTAAATCCAAGGTGTGCAAGTTGGATTTGGAAGTAAACAGGATAGGCATCAGAATTCAATACCTGAGTGAATGGAAATGCCATGGGATTGAGGGAGTGTAGCAAAAATTGAATTTTACCTAATTTTTTCTAGGGGTTGAAAAAATTTACTCACAGTAAAATTTTTAAAGGTCGGATATTATATCAGAATATAATACTTAAGTGAAAAAATACCAGGGAAGACTAAGTAAGTTATAAAGAGATAATATAACATGCATATTTATTTGATATAATATTTCAAATCTCTCTCTCTTAGTTTTAAGTGTTCACATTTTTAATTAATTTTCAGTGGCGCTTTGCCAGGCTTGGTGCTGTAAACGATAGTTGTACTTAAATTATATCTAAACACTGCGAGAGGGTCCCCTGGTAAGGAGCTGTAATCCCAGATCCAATCTGCTTGTTAAGTAGACCCTGTGCTTCTGCTGCTGGAAGCTTTTTCCTGATGAGAACTGATGGCATACTTAAAGGATTACTAGTTTCCATGGAGATATGTAAGCTGGGAATAGTAAATTTTTTAAGGAGGTCAGGAGTCTTGAAAGGGTTTAGAAGGATAAGATCACCCTTGCCTTTTTAAAACTGGACCTTTTATTTAGACTACTGAAATGGTATTTTTAAACAATGTGTCTGTCTCTGTGGTAGTCTTGGTTTCATTTTACAAGTTTCAGCCTCAAAATTTCTATTTTTGTCCTGAAAGGAATAGTATTTTGCTTTTGCTGGAAGACCACTTGATTTTTGCCGTAATTTCAGCTCTAAGCATTTTGTCCTTGATTCCTGCCATGTCACATTTGAGTCATAGCCATGGGTCCTCCAGTTTTAAGACGGATTATGGCTGTCCCAACACCTGCAGTGTTTATCAGAGTCCTTTATCACTGCAGGAAATAGGCTACTGGGGCAGGTTTTTGAATTCCTAATAATTTTTATCAGTATTTTTTTTTTCGGTTCATTCTACAGCACTCCAGTCCCCATGTGACCTGTGCTTATGTAGTCTCATGTCTTGCATGGGGCTCCAATCCCATTTCTCATTATGGAATTGGCCTTTGAATAGGGCAACTGAAGTAACCCCCAGCATATTAACTCAACCGTATCAAATGGTATGAAAAACTAGCAAAAGGTAGGGAAGCTGGGCTAGTTAAAGTCAATAAATCAAGTTTGTGGTTGATGGGTTCAGCTTTATATGATAGTCTTCTAAAGTCGTCTCAGTATAATCCTCCCTGTCAGCAGAATGTGTGCAGTAGTGTTACTATTTCCACAGAGAGTGCTGAATAAGGCACCAGAAAAAGGTCAACACGAGTGGAATGGGTTCATTTTTTTTGCCCTCACTCTGAATCAGCATATTATGTGAGTTACTAAATTCTGCATCTGGCTTAAGAAAAAAAAATCTCACAATTAAGAGTAATTTCGAGAGAAATTGGAATTGCCCTTGACAGGGAGCTGTTGGTATTGGATGAAGTTAAGGCTTCGTTCACATGCAATGTCTATTTTCTATTTTCTATTTTCGGTATGTCTTATGATCACGGTCTGTGCACTGAATATCCCGCGGCGTAATTACTGGCAGCGCGAGCCAGTTACTTATTGTAACTTATAGTAACTGGCTCGCGCTGCCAGTAATTACGCGGCGGGATATTCAGTGCACAGACCGTGATCATAAGACATACCGAAAATAGAAAATAGAAAATAGACATTGCATGTGAACGAAGCCTAAGTTGCCATGGCCCCATTAATGGCACAGGCAATTTATCATTTTCTTAATCAAAATTTCAGTGAAGCACTGTCAAGGGTGTCTGTATAGTTGGAATGTGTACATTTTGGCATAGGTTGACCTTCATGCTTGATATTGAGACCCAGACTTTAAAGATTATATTATTATAGTAGTGGAAGTGTATCGACAAACACTCAGTGTTTTTCCTTTTACTTGTTTTTACAGAACTACTATTGTAGTTTTTTTTAGTAAGCTTTGTTTTATTAATTCACTGTGGGCAGATATGAAGAAATAGCTTTCTCATAGTTACTTTGTTGTGTACCAGCGTACAGTGATGTTATCCTGTGAAATCATGATTTGTAAATATTACAGGGAAAACCTGTTAGCTGCTTATTAATGAGTATATACTTATATGGTTTGTTCTATACAATAAAGAAACCACACATTTTGTAAATTTGATAAGAGATAGATAATTGTATATTATGCCTATAGTAACTTTAAGAGAAGATGTTCACATTACAATACAATTTTATCCATTTTGTAACCAACTGTACAAGTAAAATATGCCCAGCGTTAATAAATGTCAAATGTACTAATGTATTCTCAAAATCTGTGTATGTCATTTTCTGTATGTTTGAGTCACCATCAGGCAGGTATTTTATATAAAACGCCAGACCATAATGATATTGATCCAAAGGTTTGTGGCTATTGTATTGGAGTTTGAAATTAACGCAAGAAATCAATTTGAACTCAGGTGCACAACCTAGGTATTAAAGGTGTGTACTGACAATGAGACTCTCTGCATCCTTGAGTTACCTTTTATTTGCACAAGCTTAAGAAAAATAACGACAAGCAGTACTTGCTTTGGTTTCGGATCGACTCAGTCAATTGAATCGAAGCAGCGTGGATAATCAGCCATTATTAGCATGTATTTGTGTTATTTCTCAGGTGAAGCTTGGTTCACACATGGACAACAGTCTAACCTAGGTGGTCGAGCTAAGCGTTTTCTGACCCTACCCCATGGGAAGGAGGAGGGATTTATCTGCATCACTGAGTTCACACAGCTCAATTTATAAAAGAAAATGAGGGTGAAATTTGTAAAGATGTCTAACTCTTAAAAAAGTTGCCATAGGACAGGTGCTCAAGCATTACCAAACCTCTAGAAGTGACTGCAACTTGAAAGCTAGTTGCATGTTATTTTCAGTATGTGTCAAATAAAAGACAATAATTCTTGATCATAACAAAGAAGTTGACAAAGCAGGGTAAAAAGGATATGAATGTCATGGAAGCTGGTATGCTGTTTTGAAGTTGGGGGAGTGATCGCTGCAGAGCGATGCTATCAGTGTCAAAGTTGAACATCATTGCCTAGAAGAACCCAGTTGATAACAACATTATTGCGTGTCGCATGCATCATGCTTACCTACCATTACATTGGCAAGTCACCTCGGGGTTGTACCCACCATTATTGGCCCTGTGTGCTTTTTAATGGGAAATATAATATGGGGAAACCGCAATGGAAAATGGGATCACACAAATTTGAGCTATAACCAAGAGCAAGAATTTTGCATGAGCGGGTTACTGTCTATGAATTCACCGGGGGAAAAGTTTTAATATTACAGACGTCGGGGTCATTCTTTCATTCCTTTCTTTCCAACTTTCCTCCCTAGTGCCCTGGGCCAGTCCTCTCTCTCTTTCTATTTATAATATAATCTGTATTTTTGAATTAAAGCAGATTGACTTCTGGATTATGTTGATCAACAAAAGAGGGTGGCTTCAAATTTCAAGGTGTATACAGTATGAATCATCTCCCACAGACTGGATGCACAAAGTTGTTTTGTCAGGTGGGAACCATATCTTTACTGAAAGAGATCAACTGTCTTCTGTTCTCAGTGAAGAAGACTGTCAAGCAAAAAAAAAAAAAAAACAGGAATTTTGATGCAGACAAGACATCCAGAGAGACACCTGTGAATATCTAAACCTTAGGTACTTGTTTGGATATAAAAACAAAATTAGTGCATATAACCCAATTTTTGATTTTGAAATATAGATATCTGTGAAACAACCTGCTGGAGAGATGAGTGAAAGGTAGACGAGCTGTTCTAAAAAAAAAAAAAAACATTTTAGCTACAGTGGCCCCCAGATTGCACTCTTGCCTTCTTGGCCCAAAAATACTCTTGGTGAATGATTGGCATGGCAAAATTTATAATTGGCAAAAAAGAAGCCTTAGGAATAAGTGTTATCCCAAGCATAGTTTTATCATTTCTGAATTTTGAGCATTCATCTCAATATTTAGAGCCCTTTATACTTTTCATCAAGTTAACTGGAAACTATTACCTGGCATAAACAAAGTTGTAATGGAGCCCCCCTATGTTTATGTCCACAGCATGTTGTCATTGAAAGGCTTGAAGGTTGCCATGGTTATAAAAAGTGATCTCCATAGCAACTGTGTAATCAGGGGTAATTGGGTGGCTCACTTTTAGCTGTACAGAGTCCAAATGTTTCCTGATAGCCAACTTGTGCTTGACCTAGGTGGTTGGGATTGTTAGAAGGGGAGTCTTTTGTTCAGGGGGGCAATACAACAGGATCCTATCTTTAATCTGGACTTGGATATTTGCAGTTGAAATAAAAACAATTTATATGATAATCTACAGCATGCAGTCTGCATTCAGGAGCATATGGCATTTTAATGGCAGTAATTTGTTATTCTAAGTCGTGTAAACCATGCCACCCTCATAAAATGCTTTCATTGAAAATGCTGCAGATATCATGGGCAAAAGTCTGGATAACATATCTTTGCTGCCAGGTTTTAAGATTGACTTGCCATGATAGGTTTTCCAGAGTTTCTTTTTGTGTGGTCTTGTTTCCTGGCTAGGAATGATAGGATTATTTTCTTCAGTGAGCCAGTCGAGTTTTTTTTTTCTAGATTTCAAAGCCAGTAAAGATATTGGAAAGATTCCCATCCACCTTTTAATTCTCATTTGTCAGTTTGTTATAATATGGCTGCCTGACATCTTGATTTTTTCACTCTGACAGTTCGGGAATGCATTCAAATGGGTGTCATGCCTCAAGCTGCATGTGGGCGATGATAGGGAGAAAAAAAATTGAACAGCTGTATAATTTTCATTTTAATGTGCATCAAAATCAATTCAGTTGAAAATTTTAAAAGTTGTCATGAGTTGTTTGATAGATTAATGTCATCTTCCAAGCTAACAACTGGTATGTTTTTTTTCTCATATTAGTAATTAAAAAAAAGATGATATGAAATTTAAGTTTGTAATTGTGGAGGCACTTTTTGATGATAAATGACTGAAAATCATAATGGCTGAAAACATTGATACTTGTGCTCTTTTATCAAATCACATAAACACCTGTACTCCAGAAAGTAATCAGTTTTGTTGACAACTTGGCAAAATTTAATGATGTAATGACCCCAGTTATTTTTCACCGTAATTTTCTCAGACATCCATAGAAAAAAATTTCTGGGAGAAAGCTCTGCCCTTTCTATGTCAATCATTGAAAGAAGTTGTAATTAATCCTCCCCAACTGTGTCTGTCTGTCTCACAGCAGACAATCGTCTGCTTTTTTCTCCATTCCATTTCACTCACTAGATTATGCTGACAATACTGGTGGTATTGGCTGAGAATCCCAATTAAATGCAAATGTGACATGTCGGTCGTGACCTCCCTCTCAGCTATACCCATCTTTTCCTGTCATGAACAAAGACTTGGAGACAACACCAGCTGCAGCTGATGAAAACTAGACAACTGCCGCTAAGAAGTTCAGCTCTGGGTTGACAGGATATTTTATTCCAAAGGATGCATGCATTATACATCAATTAAATTGTAGTGGTTCAAAAGAATGGGAGATGGTATGTAAGGGTTTAGTTCTCCAGCAGGCAGCGTATTTGAAGAATCATGTGTCATATGAAATTTGAGTTTATGATATTTTGGTAAAGAAAAGGAAATGGTTGAAAATAATTGAGTCTGTTATACCCACTGTGCTTTATCTGAAAAATGAGTCACAATGCAATATTTCTACTGTCTGGCATAATAGGTTTTAAAAATTGCATGGCCCCAAACATCTCACTCTTTATTTTTCATCATTCTAATAAAAGCGAATGATCCATTTTATTAGCACCTGCTGCTTTAATGTAGACCTATGATATATAGAACTAACATTCAATCTCACATCATGCAAGATCCTGAATAATGAAAGATATTGCTTCATCTGCCCTTTCTGTCCCTTACAGCATCACCACATACACTTGCCCAAAACATCAATACTTTCAATCAGACTTAATGTTTACTAACCTAATCATGCATGCATAAAATACTCGAGTGAAATACATTAATTGAAATTGTGACTTTATTGTGAGATGTTACTCTATCTCATTTCATGCAGGAGAGATCAGTGGAAGTAATCAAATGAAAACTTGTATTGAGTGGATGCAGTGATTACTTTGAATTCAGAGGGATAATATTTGATGAGCTGATGCAAACATTACAGATGTCTGCCTTTGTGGACAGACCAGCCTTCATTTGTGTGGAACTTACTTAAACACCATTTTTTCAGACAGAAAGTCAAATTCTTGCATATTTTGGTTCAAGAGATTGGTGAGGGGTTACTTATTTGCCAAAAGAAAAAATTAATCTTGAAGATCCTCGCGTAAAATAACACATAATGTGTGGTTACAGTATTGAGTTGCACACACACACACACACACACACACACACACACACACTTAACTTAAATAAACTCCTTAAATATTCAGGTAAAACATAAAGGCACGTACTAGTATATCAGAGATTTCTATTTGTAGGACAAAGAGTCGCTGTACATGTTGTAGGGCTTCTACAAAGGCTAATGACTTGTCAGGCTATTTAAGATCTATGAGAAGAGGTCAGGGAAGGCCAATGGTCAGTGATAAATGTGAAGGGGGAGGGGCAATGTAATAAGGGTACACTGCTCAAGACCTTTAGTACCAAACCGAACATTTTTAGTGTTGGTAATACATGTGTGTAGTCTGGAATGAGATGGCATATAACCATGCTCAGCTGTCAACTTGATCAGTTAATGAGCCTAAAAACAATCAAATGTGATTTATGAATACCACACTAGCACAAAAAGTGCAAATAGTAATTTCTCCATAATGCAAAAAAAAAAAAAGATCAAAATTGATTAAGTACTTTTAGACAAATTCATTAAGTTGCTATTTATTATGACATTTTATAGGAACTATGCATGGCAGTTTCTTCATTTCTTGAATTTTATTTACTTATTTATTTATTCATTAATTTATTATTATTTTATTATTATTATTATTATTATTATTATTATTTTTGCAGTATATGATTTATATGATAATGGCCCATTGTTGAATACACATTTCTTTTAATTGTTGCTACTATATCCATTTTACATCTTAAACTGTAACATTTAACGTACACTTTACACAATCTATAGTATTAGTCTCATTGAAAAAATATTGCACCTTTATTCGAGGAGTCATTATATTACAGGTAACCAGTGGTGTCTGAGCATCCCCCCTTCTCCTGCCAAAAATGCCCAGAAATTACCATCTGCAATTGAATAGGAAACAATGTGATAGCCTGGACTGATTAAACTGATAATAATGATGGTGTTATTGATCATGCAGAAGGTAATAAAAGAGAGAAACAAGAAGCCAAGTATATGTATTGAATATAAATATGCTCAGGTTAGACCTGTTCCCACCAGTTTTGACAGATTCATTTTTTAGACCTGAATGGTGGTAGCAGATGCATAGACCCCCTCCCCCTCCTCACACACACACACACACACACACACACACACCAATGTAATCCCCAAGGTGTGATCAGCACAATATGGGCAGTTGGCACAACTTCTTGGAGTACATAGGGGGATTGCAATCAAGTTTTTGCAACCTGAAATGAGGTCAAAATCTGTTTATATTAAATCTGATGGTACACAGAACTTAAAAATGTTTGTCTGGTGAGATATACATGGTGTGGTGCTATATTTATGTATATAGGCACTAAATGGTATGTCAGTCAGGACAGGGAAAGGAACCAGCCCTGTCTGGAAGCATGATTGATTGCTGTAAACATGAGGTAATGGGGTTTCAAAGCAAAATATCTATAAACACCCTTTTCCATGTAAAGTTTTAGAGTAGTAAAGGTTTGTGTATATTAACTTGAAGTGGGACCCTGTATCTTCAAGTGGGTGGAGGTGTTTCACAATGATATGCAGATTTCAGAAAATCAATAAATGCATTTTATGTTTATTCAAACAAGTTTCTAATTTGTACCTGGAGGAATTAATTAAGTTTGCCTTTCAACTACTTCATGCACTGAATACAAAATTGTAAATATTTCATTAAAAAGAAAAGTCTGGTAAGCAACAATTGTAGTAGTGGACCACCCAAAGCACTAAAAGCTTTTTCTAAATTTCTTGAGTGGGGTTCCTGTGGTTTCTTTTAATTTACAACATGCATGTAATGTTTTGTCCATTTCACAGGGAAAAAATGGAAGAGTAAAAAAGAAAGGCTAAATGAGACTTTGAAACTTAAACTTTAATTTTTTTCTACTCTAGCTGAAAGCTTTTAAGAAAAAGAGATGGGCTGAAATGTGAAGCAAATCTTTCTTTTCCAATTTCTAGCCCATTAAGGGGTGGTGAATCTGTAACGAGATGGCATGTGAGTTATCCAGCAAAAACAGCATCCAAGGGATTTCTTGGCTGTGGATGTATTTGTTCAGGTAAAGGCAGACGTGAAGTTTAATAGAGAACCAACGCACATACAGGAAGACCAAAAACAAGACCTGTTTTTGATGAAAATTCCCTGTTATTGTGACAGCTGGAAGTGAAAAGTGGAGTAGCATCCCCTAATTGCTATGTCTTGGGGCAGTTTACTTGAGGTGTCATTGATAAAAAAAAGACACCTGAAATCACATCTACTTAAATTTTTGGATAGTTGATTTTGTCTCTCTTGTACAGGATTTGATAAACAAATGGAAATTAAAAGTGAAAATTATGGTCCTGCCTAAAGGAGATTTGGAAGATAGAAAAGACACAGATAGCATTTTTTCTAAAAATTTTATAAGGACATTTCACTTTCTGTTATCATCAAAGCATTCCTCTTGATGTTGTGCTGTACAAAATTTAGATTCGACACTATGTAATGAAACAAATGTGCAAATTTAGGCCATTTAGATCTGTCTGGCATTTAGCAAGGAGGAAGTATATTTCTGCATGCAGACCTTTTGTAATTTAACACCCCCCCCCCCAAAAAAAAAAAAAAAAAAACATGAAAGCAAATAATGAGTGAAAAACATATAATTGCATTAAATGTATAAAAGTCATTCCAGAGTATAATCCCTTTTTTTCATTCTCTTCAGGTGAAAGAAAGGCAACTCTTTAACTAGTGAATGTTTCTGTTCAAGAGAGTATATGGATGGTTGCATACCTTATGCTGTATGTCTCTGATGAAAAACAAAACACTGACAAGATAGAAAGTTCAAAGGAAACACAGCAACCAATTTTTATAAATTGTTTTCAGGTTGTTTTACTGTTGGAAAGTACTTATTACACACTACTATACATTTCACTGTTTTTACAGAACATGTCTTGTGAGAAGGAATGATTGGTTTGGAACAGAGGAAATAAAGGGAAACACACTTTTCAGGAAAATTTTGATTTTTTTTTTTTTTTTTCACAATTTCACTTCATTCATGTGAAAGGTCAATATTTTCCACATACTTAATGGTCAAAGAAATGTTAAATGCCATGCATGAAAAATACAAGTTGGTTGCTGGTAATGCAATCATTGTGGTTGAACCATGCTGTCTTCTGATGGACATTAAAGTTGCTGTTTTCTGCAAGACCACTAGCAGGCAACAATGCATGTCAGTATTGACTTTTCTGATAACCTATGTTCAGTTAACCATGAAAAGTGTTGATTGTAGTGCCCATTTGTAGCTATAAGATTATCTGTCTGAGTTGTGAATAGAAAGTATCGATTGTGCGTGAAATACGAAAGAAAATTGTAACTCCCTGTTGCTTATCAGATAGCCATGGCTTAAAGCAATGTGACTAACATGACAAATGGTAAGTGATCAAGGACTAATTGCATTGTTTGTCTCTGGTTAATTGTTCTGGGTTAATTTATTGGGAAAATTCATCCACTCAAAACACTGCACACAAGTGTGTTATTAGATTAAATTGGAATTGCAGAGTTGTCTGAGACTTGCAGGTATTGGTAAACTTGGAATGCCACGCTCATTGCTCATTTTTAAAAGCATTTTGCTAAACCCCCTCCATTATCTTATAAATTTGCAGCCAGAATGCTCATTTATAATCCATATGTACCCCAGAGCACCCCAGGTATATTGTACAAACCACAGTCAATACTCTCTGTCTTTTTCAATAAAGGGTAATTAATTTGAAACCAAGCATGAACTTTCTCAATTCAGCTAATAGAAAATCCAATAATGCTTTTTTATTAAAAAGCAAATATTGGCCCTGTATCATAGCTATTTAAACAACATGAAAGAATGGATTCTGGTGTAAATGAACTGTGCTTTGCTGTGGATAGGGATAATTGTGCTCAGTTCACACCTCTAAATATGACTGACAGAAAATCTCAATCTACAACCAGTCCAAAACTTGTAATTCAGCACATTTGTAATTTGGTGGTGGTAATTAAAAAGAATGATAATGATAAAAAGAAGGCTTCAGTTCAAATATAAGACAAATTTTGACCAAGAAATGTAGAGCAAGAATGTGAAAAAGTGATACTTTTAAGTCGATATTACATGTATACATGCCTTTCTATCTAATTTTTTATAAATGTATATGCCATTTGAAATGTTGTTTTCTATAACTTATACAAGTGGCATACAAACTGCAAACAGTGTGAAAAGCACCAAGTAGTTCTAGGCCGCACCTGTAGCTTCAACAAGTGATCAATAAGTTGTCATTGGTTCACTTCTAAATATAACACTACCATAATTTACACCTTTCCTGATAATTAAAACACATTCCAAAGACCTTGTTCCATATGCTTTTCATCCAGAAATGCAACCTTATTAACAGGCCTACCCAACTACCAGACTCGGCACCTAAGGATCCTGAATTAACCGGTATATCGGACCACGCTACCCGTTTTCAAGGTGTGTGTCAGATCGCATTTCGGAGTATCATACACCAGAAAAAATTTTGTAGCACGACTGCGGGCTCATCCACACTCGGTTGAACAACCTTAAACTGTACTCTTACTTTAGAGTAGGCCTACTCCATTTTATTGTCTCTATGGGGATATATGGGGACTTTACGACATTCGGTTTGAATGTTTTAACCACTTTTGATAGGGCTTTTTTTGCATTGTATTAGATTAATGTGGCAGTCTAAGGTGCATCTAGGTGGCTTTCAAATTTATGCACCCGGTTTTAAAATTATATAGCGATTTTACGACAATCGTTTACTATCCAATCAAGGTGACAGCCGAGCATGCCAAGGCTCATCCTGTCGGTGTTCTGGCTGATACTCCGAAATGCGATCTGACACACACCTTGAAAACGGGTAGTGTGGTCCGATATACCGGTTAATTCAGGATCCTTAGGTGCCGAGTCTGGTAGTTGGTTAGGCCTGATTAAGCTGGACAGAATTTTAAGGACGCAGTCCATTTTTGTCCAATTTGTTCATGCTTTTTGATAAATCATTGGAATCTTTCAGAAGATTATTTTAATGTACACAGCAGTCGCTCAAGCTTTTTTTTTTTAAATAACCAACTAAAAACAATCATTTGATAAATGATTTTAGACAATATTCAAGTTATTCTGGAAGCAAAAATTAAAATTGCATTAATTCACTCATTTTAAGTTGGGGGCAAGAAAGAGGAGTTAGACATTGACAGCAATTACAATTATAAACTCATTGTGCTATCAGTAAATTACAGTACTCAAAGAATGAAAGATAACAAAATCCAAATCAGAACCCATAATGACTTTTCTTTCTTTGTAATTGCTTTTTCAGAAGCTACTTTAACTGCCTTGTCATTACAATCAAATACCTGTAACAAAAACAGACAGTGAGTTTCCAACAGAGCACCCATAATTTTGATTTAATCTTAGTTTCCATTCCAATGGCTACAGGTAGCAGAGTGGCTCTGAGCTAATAAATCATCATAAATGGCATGGTCAGTTATTGTGCTCAATGTGTGTTGATTACAGTGAATTACTTCACCATATGGGTTTCCTGTTTCCCAGCATAATAATAATGGGAAATGAAGGCTGATATACTGCCTGATTGTGCCACAGATAAAAAAAGATTGTTTGTCAAATCAAGCAAGTGTCATTGGCTACTATGAGTTTTTTTTTTTTATAAAGTCACTTGTATTATGTGTGTCAAAATTTTGAAATAGTGAACATTTTTAAAGTACTTTCACATGCAAAGTTAAATAAAAATATTTTACTTCAATTTTTTTCTCAGATAGGTTGGAAAGGAACAGAATAAAAGCTGTAGGCAGCCCATCATAAATCTGAGAAAAATATAATCATGCACCAGTACTGAAGATTTCTGTGCAGTTTGTTCTTGATGAAATATTAATTTGAGTACATCAAAGAAAGAGAGGGAAATTTGTTCTGCCATCTCCCCCCCCCCTCCCCCATCCCAATAAAAATGTAATGGGTAACCATAATTGTAGGTCTTTAAAACATGGCATGCTACAGACTTTTAGATGTAGAAGTTTGTAATGGGGAAAATGGTGGTGAACCACAGAACTTCAAAAGATTATCTAGAAAACATGCTCAGCATTAAATAAATGAAGTTTGAAGTTGACATTGTGCATTATGGGGAAAGAGGTTGTGAAAGTACAATCAAAATCTTTTTAATTGATTATTTTGTGCCAGTGATATTCTTTTTAGATATAAAATCAAAGTTTTCTCATTTGAAATGGTATTCTGATAGTAAGTGCACATTTATATGGCCCTATCATTTTCAGTTTCAGTGTAGACAAAACAAATTTCTGCTTGATTTGAGGAGTCTGATGTGGAAATATTATCCTGCTTGTCCTTTGGGAACTTTTGTGAAACTGCTTTTGAAAAGTTCACTGGATGTCATGCGATGACCCATTTTCCTCCATGGGCAGACTAAAAGGTTCTGATGTGTTCTTTTTGATATCATTGTAATCAAATAGTTTCCAGCTCAGCATTAGTCATCCTATGCACAGTGTATGCACATCTCTGTTCCGTTCTGTAAGGTGGATTGATACAGAGCTTGTGAGTGGTTGATTGCTGTGGCATTATGTATATTAGACACATTTTTCTTTTTTAAATAGTGATATATTATCATGCTTAGAATAAGCTTAAGCGGCTTAAATGTCTGGCATGCCTACTGAAGCTGCTAAATGATAATTAATTAATTACACCCTAGCAGCTTCAGTAGGCATGACAGACATCTAAGCCGTTGAAGTTGATTGCAATTTAGCGAGAATCCTCTTGGAGATAGATCGATCCACAGTTAGTACAATAGGGTCTGGTCCCTTAGTCTGTATTTCACAGCTCTCAATCCCCGTCTGCAGTAGGACAGATAAAAAACTAAGAAGATGAAAGTTTACATTGATTCCCCTCTCTCATTGGTCATAAAGATAAAACTGAATATCGGAACAAAAACTTTAAAATCAAGTAAGTTACATGTATATTGCACATTCACTTTCAAGTGGTTTTTCATTTTCTGTGCAACACAGACGACATTTTTAACCTACCAACATTTTTTCTTCTCCAGAAATTTGTTATTTCAGGAAGCAGCAGTTCCTTTGGTTCCACATAAGTGCATGGCTGGTGTTTGTCGAAGGAAGGCCATTGTCTCAAAGTCATTGAAGCATATCTTTGTGAAGGATGGCAAACAGACTCTGCATTCATCAACATTTTAGAAAAAAAGCAGTAAGACATTGATTTCATTTATCACCCCCCTTATTATTCATAATATAATGTGCAATGTCATTCAAATTCTTTATGCATTTCTTTACTGTAATAATAAAAAGGGAGCAAAAAAAAAAAAAAAATTGTGCAGATTCTTCATCTTTCAGTGATCAGGCTTTTTAAAACTATGAGCAGTCTTGCTGTATACAATGGAACATAGAGATTGATTTTTAATTCTTGCGCTACACCTTGATCTTTTCGCTCTCTTGTTTTTTCCCTTTGATCATAACAAGTTTTATTGCTAAGAACATTTTAATGAACTCAAAAGGGAAGATCAAATTTGTGAAGTTCAAGTAATGCAGGAAATGCTAGGAGAAGTAAAAGTAGAGTATATTAATAACAAGTGAAATCAGATCGCTGGCTGGCAAAGTTTAGCCAGCAGCTAAAAAAGGAATCTTTCCCCAATAAAATTCCCATTGATAAAACAATGTAAAAGCTTTCAAGTGGATTAGTTTACGCTTCTTTGCATCTCTTCATCTCTGTCTATATGTTTCATTCCATTCAAGATTGCTTAATTAAATGAAAATGTTATCCTTATCTGCTGTGTAGTGCAGTGAATCAGAATAGGGTTTGTGGAGGGTATGTAAAGCAGATTGTACATGTACGTGGCCTATACAATTTTCCTGAATTTTTCTGTTATTTTTACAGGGAGGTGTACTCAGACTTGATTAGAACAAGGATGTTGAAGATATACATCCTTGATTAGACATAATATGTTGTATGCAAGCATTTGAATTGTAGAATTGCTTCCATTTAAGAAATAGTTAAGTTGCAAAACTGGTATGACTAATAATTGATTACATGAATAATTTTAAAAATCAGTTTGTTTCTTCTCAGACATCAAAGCTGTTTAGTGAGCTGTTATCTTGAATGGATTACTCACATCTATCCTTCATTTCATCTATAACAGATTGCTGATGAGCACTGATAAGAATTGATTTTTTAACTCCATGAATATTTGCCAACTGGCAGGTTATGATAATTTGTCCTCACAGCTGCCATTGTGAACCATGCAATTGTACTGTCAGAAGACATATGTCATGTTAAAAATGAGGATCAATAAAATGTATGTCATGTATACCGTCTCTATAAAACTGTATATATCTTGACCTCTCTCTCTCTGTACTACTGTTTAAAATGCATTATCAAGTAGTTGGAGGTATTTCACATGAGTAATAAACTCAATAATTTAGATATTAGTCTGTAGTCTCCAAGATGTGATATATTTAAAATATTTATTTTTCAGCCTACTTTAACTGTCTTGTGTAATTATTATGTAAGCATTGGTGTAAGACTTGTGAATAAATGTTGCCCTGGAAGACTTATTAGAAGATTAGATTGGTATTTCATGAAAAACCTGTATAATGCATCACACTTTTTAATCACTTTATTTCTTCGGCTTCTGTAGAGAATCCTTACTAAGTCCAACACAAATACAGATATGGCACATACAAGCCTGCTGTTCAGATGAAATGTTAGCCCATGTAATCAGATTTAATCTATGGTATTAGTTAAGGCGTGATGGGTTAGCATAACTGGCAAGCCTTAAAACATAACCTATTATACAGTTAATGTCATTAAAAGGTGATGGCATATTGACTGGAACCCCAGTATTTTTAGCCATATGGGATTATGATGACTACACCCCAGCTTGCATCATTTAGTAACCAACATCTGGACTCAGAATTATCTAGAAAATTAATAGTGAATTATAGACTGAGATCTTCATTGCAATTCCTCACACATAAATCATGAATGGTTTGATCTAGCATCCGAAGTCACTTACACTTGAGCTTTATATGTATGTTAGTATGTCCAGGTGAAAATTTAAATAAACTGCAGCGACTTGACCTAAATTTATGAAATTTACAAAATCACAAGATCAGAATTTAGAAAATTTGAGAAAAATTATGAATCAAAGAAAAATCAACATTATCTCAAATTGAAAGAATATCTATTCTACAGCTTAAACTTAAAGGCAAATAAAGTGTGTTAGAACTAACTAAAGGAAAAGAATGAATTTTCGTGGAAATTTGAGTATACTCTATCCAAACAATTGAAAAAATTACAATCTGTGAATTCCATTTTCTACTTATAACTCTCTAATTTTAACCATCACAACTAAAATTCTCCAGTCTCTTTCTAGATCTTTATGGCAAGGCAAGAGTGACTCAAAAACTACAAACTTAGGTTTGTATATTGTTATTGTGAATGCCTCATGCAGTGATTAAGGTTAAAGTGTTGAAATATCCAGAAAAATTAATATCTTGCTTTATCGAGATCTAATGCTCAATCTGTGTCTTTAAAGAAGAAAAAAAAAAATTCAATTTGACCTAAAGGACTACAAGTCCATTTACTATGTGTTTCTTTCTATTTAAATATTTTAATAATGGATTTGATACATTAAAAATCTTCTGTAAAAATGCTCCAAATGCTTCCCAATGATAATAGTACAATTTTGGCTGGACAGCAATCAATCAAGGCACTCCTTTACAGCTTTGTTTTTTTTTTCTTTCAGTTACATCCAGTAGTATGCTGACATCTGCTCAACTTTAATGTTCCATGTCCCAAACAGGAAGCTCTTGAACATGTCAGGCTTTAAAACTGCTGCCAAAATATTTTCAGACATGAGCTTTTGCATGTTTCTCACAGAAGGAAAGCTTACAGATTTTGTTTTAAAGGATACCTCTTATTGTACATATGACTATCATTTCTTAAAGGAAATTTGGATGGAGTGGGGTGGAAGAAAATGCTATGGCAACTCAATGAAATTAAATGTGGAGATATTTTTCTAACATAACCTTTAGCCTGTCATTTATCTTATCATTGCTCAATGCATGCACAATGGAAGAGATTATTAAAAGTCAAAGAGCATATTTCAAAAGACGTGTTAAAATTTTCAAACTAGTTTTGGGTTGAACAACTTCCTCCCCTGTGCAGTATATTACTGAGATGGAACTGTCAGTGGATGAAAACAAACAAGACTGCTGTGATTAATGAAAGTTACCTGCAGATGTAGTAACTTCCTTTGATCTTGTCCAAATTTGGGTGCAAGTTCAGCCAGAAGTGAATTTAAATGAGTTTATTTATGCTTTCTGTAAAAGCACAGCTTCCTCAGTAAATGTTGTTTGAAAACCGGAGTATTTACTTAATGTGTAATGACCATTGTTGATTTAATCAAAAGTAAACTCTTAGTCACTATGTTTGGTAGTATTGTGGCTACCTTTTTCATGAGACAGGTGAAAGTATTATGAAAATTCAAAGCACTGTTTTGATTCCAGTGGATATTCATTTATGAAATATTTAACTGCCCTATGAGGAACTGGAAATCAAATCACCCCTCCCTTTTCAATATAGGAGAGTTTTGATTGAGAGCATCAGATATGTATTAACTAAATGGAAGTGCTCTTAGAATATGTGAGCCTTTGGGAATTTGAAATGGGCTTTAGGCTTTTATGCAGCTTTTATCAAGATCTTATAAGTTCATTTCACTTAAAATCAAAAGCAAATTTACTAGCTATACGCAACTGCACAGAAACTAAGTTTTATATAAGAAAAAAATGAATAATAATGATAATTTATTTTATATATGGCACATTCCATTTAGGCATTAAAATCCCAATATGCTAGAAATGACAAAATAAAAGCTTAAATCATAAATTGCTTATTAAAGTTATACTTCTTAGTTATAAATGACAAAATACAAACTAAAAATCATAAATCGCTTACTAAAGTTATAGTTCTTACTTCTAAATTAATGAGCCTTGGAGTTACTAATGTTGATCGGGAATAATTTAAAGGCCGGAAGACTTAAAACAATAAAACTTTACTGTATCAATTACTATGAACTGATTTAGAAATGTAGATCTTTAAGAGTTTCTTTAAAAATTCAAAGTCATTCACAGTTCTTAGATCAGTAGGTTGATTATTCCATAACTTATGTGTATATATTGTAAATGCACATTCACCATTATACTCAGTAATTGTTAGCTTTTTTTCCTCAAAAACAGAAAGTAAATGATTAAAAGTGGAAGTCTTAATGATGCATCCCTCCTGGTGTGGGAGATGAAGTTTCGATATATATATATATATATATTGGTGATTCTTCTCTATGACTACTTTATCAATTATGCATAATAATTTAGACAATATCCTTTCTTTAACAAGCATCCAGTGAGCCCGACTATTAATAGCAATATAAATTATAGGCAATACATAAACACACACACACACATATACTAATAAAATGAAGATGGACACACAGCACCATAAATGGATGACTTATTCTGTCCATTCTTATAGATGCAATATTGTAAATGTTATACAAAATTTCTGAAACATTCAAAATAGAAGAATTTTCATGAATTTATAAATTTGCATAATTGTGAGAGAAATTATAGACACTCAAAAAACTGCACTGACAATGGGGATCTACCAAGGCCGTCAGCACTCTGTGATGTCATATGAGACTAGATAATGTACAAGAATCCATAAGGATGAAGCTGTGTGCTGGGAATGTCCTCTTGGAAATTAAGCAATCCAAAACTGATATCCCAGATATACTTAATATGTACCATTGTGCAATAAAATGTAATTCGACAAAACTATGGAGAAAATAAGCAGAAATATAATCAGGCCCGTAGCCAGGGGTGGGTTTCGGGGGGTTCGAAAGAACTGCCCCTTTTGCTGGGAAAAGGTCCACTCTGGGTAAAATTTGATCTAGGTACATTAAGTTTTTATGGGAAAAGGTCCACTTTTTCAGAAAAAGAACCCCCCTTTTGAAATTGCTGGCTACGGGCCTGTATAATGATCCATGGTTTAATTCTGTCAGCTTATATTGGTTGCTGTAAATGAACTTGTTAGTCTGCCATTATTTCTGATCCCACTCTCCTCCAAATCTCGGGAAATCTCGATTGATTTAATGCTTAGTCATGGGACTTGGGGCAATCTCAGAAAATCCCTATTATTCACTAGCAAAAAATCAAAAGTATAAATGTAATAAGTGGTATAATCAGTTGTTGAAACTGGATGAGTAGTGTCACAATGTTGCCTCGCGCATTAACTGTTTAGATTCAGTCCCATGGGTAACATTATACAGTGCAACTGTTAACGCAATATTTCAAATTGTGCATTGCCCTTTCATATGATATCCCTTAAGTGTTACTGTCATTTATCTGTCCAGGGAATCTCAGAAAGAAACAGACATCCCTCCCCCCTTACATATACAAAATGTATGAGTAAGAAAGCCCTCATTTTTTAGTGCAGACTGTGGACATTAAGGTGAGTTCAGGAGCAGATGGCACACCCTCCACTCTCCACCCTCCCTTACTTTGCCTACCCCCCACCCCCCACCCCCACCCACCCTCAAATAAAACGAGAGAGAGAGAGGTCCTGGCTGCATGCTGGACTTGCCATATATATATATATACACACATATGACAATCCTTAATATTCATCATTAACAGGCAGTTTGATTAACCACACATCTCAGATGTAGCTTTATTGAGTAAATCCAAGTAGTGTTCAGTTTTATGGCAGGATAATATGCATAATGATAGCCATATTAATACAGTGTCACTGACATTTATTAGCTAAATGCTAATGGCATACTAGTGGTCTTTGTGTAGTTGTGTTAGTCACACAATTGTGGCATGAAAGTACCTAGTCTAAATTTCTGAATTATAAGTCTGTACTTTCCACCTTAAGTGTAGATGAATGTAATATAAATCAATGCTAATTTTTTAATGAATAATAATTGCAATTAATTTGCACACTTAGGCCTACAATAATCAACTTTTTGTTGGTAAATTTTTTCGCTTATCACAAAACTTTAAAAAGTGGAGTGGTTAAGGATACAAATAAATGTTTTAATTTTATGAAAAATTACACTGTGGACATTCTCTCATTTCCCCAGCGTAGCCATGTCACATTGCTTGGAATGCTCCTTACCTGTCACCTACTGCAACACAATCTGCAAGTACCATAATTTAGTGACTTCACCTCTACCACAATCAGCAATTCCTGACTGGAGCAACTGCTGCACGTGACGTCACGGGCACCCAGCAACAGCAAACAATATGGAGGGCAGCGGATGTAGGACGTCTCATTGTCAGTTAATAATCGATTTTATCACTCACTGCCAAGAAACCAAATATTGGAGTTAAAATGGAGATAAAATGACCTAGTGATGTTATATAAGAGTTGTCGATCTATTGTCTGGGTTTGGGAAAAAGTCTAACGCAGTTGAAAAACTTTGGATGAAACTTCGTCCAGTTGTGGCCCCGTTCTCAGACTCGAGAAAGCATTGAAAGATGACAAGTGGTTTGATGAACCTGTCGCTCCTCAGCCGAGGAATCGGGGAAGTGCAACAAAATGGACACGAAAAAGTGGAGGTTAAACTTGAACCTGAGGTAGGTTTAATTAGTAAGCATTTTATGGTCAGAATTTTATATTGTATATAATTAGATTTTGAATTATGGGCTATTTGGTGTGATGGCCCTGAAAGGATCGCCTTTATGGTTATTTGGCCTTTAACGTGTTGTTGCAGTTTGACGGTGATTATTGCAAATAGAATGTAAATAAGAAAATTGTCAAAAGTAGTTTTTATCAGGATTATTACTGCCATTACGTGCAAAAAAGGAATAACTAATTTTTTTTCTTTTTTTTATGTGATGACTGATGAGCCTAATTTTTTCAATATATACACTGTCTATTTTGAACATTTCGAATAAACACATTTATTTATTAAGTATAGTTTTGTTGATGGAGCAAGCATCTTGTGAAGATGTGGTTTATACTATTTTTTTAGTAAATTATACTAAAATTTGACTGTAATGACTAGAAGAAAATAATTGGTTGAAATAATGAATTAAATCCTAATTTTTTAAAATACTCTGTACAACAGCAAGTGCTATTGGATGATTAGGATGTTGATCTGGTTGGTCAACACAACATGTTCCTAACCGGGAGATGGACAATCGCTAAAGATGTCATAATTACTACCCTGTTACAAATCAAAAGGACTTTGTAATTACTGAGTTGGATAATCAATAAATTTTGACTAGCGTTGTGAAGTAGAATAAAATGCAGTAGCCAGATTTTATTTACATGTATATCTGAAATCAATATTAGACTTTCAAGGTGCACTTGAAACGCAGACCAAAATCGATCAATGGAATAAATATATTTTTTCATACTTGTTAAGGGCTGTATATAATTGTATGTAATGTCAAAATGACTTTTCATTGACATGAGTCTTAGTTGTCCATAAGAGGGACATTGAATTCTTAGATGCCACCTTATTAAAGCATACAGTGATGCCCTAAATAATGTAATTCTTAGATCTAATAGAAGTGACAAAAGGCATTACATCTGAAGTGCTTGTACTAATGCATGATGGTGTGTTGAAACATTCGTACAAGTGTAATATTGACCGCAGGGTTGAATTAAAATTTAAAAGTATATTTTGCAAATTTTGTGATTGTTTCTAATAGGAAGTAACAAAAATTTGCTTGTACAGTAAGAGATATGACTCAGATATTTTTTGTAAAGAGCTATTACCAGGAATTGTTTCTATTCATGTGTAAGCCCTTTGATAAGTATGCTTTTAGACCACACAGGGCTGATTACTTGGAACTAGTATTGATCAGTCTTACTGTGTAATCTTCATTGCCTGGAAACTAGAAACATTTTTTGCCACAGCACATAAAATAAACTGGAAAAGATCAATAAAATGACTAGGGTGATTATTACAGATATGTTTTGATATGGAAATTAAATTAAAAGTGACCAGTTAGTAGATGATTTGTTTTGCCTGAATTAATTTATATGGAAGGTGCTTTATCTTTTTTTTTACACTTTGAAATGCTCAGGCATAAAAAGATTATATCTTAATTTAAACCGTTAAATTATAGAAATAACATGGCAATTTTTACACTCCAATTTATATCAATATTTTTAAAAATGTAATTTTAGGTATATTGTAAATTTGTGTAGCAGATAAGTATTGTTACACTTAACAAAAAATTACCAGAACGATCCAAATCTACATCTCTTTTCACCTTTGTCCACTTTTTGCAGCAATTTAGATATTTAGCAGTATTGGGGACAATAGAAAGAATTTCCCCTCTCCATTGATTTTTCCTTTCATAAAACTTTCTGCCACTTAATTCACTAATTAATGAGCAAGCATTTTACATGATGGTAGAAAATACGTAGAAATAAGGGAAGATACTGCAAAATTTCTATTAGCTTATGTTTTTTGACATTTTATGATTTAAATGTATACTTTAATTTTGTCTCCACAGGATTACTTCAATTGGGCAGATGATCCTAAAAGACTGTACCTCCCCCCTATACAACCCAAAGTGGCCTTTGAATCACCAAGGTCCATGGGAAACAACAAGTCACCAAGAGAAACACATGAGGTGCATTTACCTAAAACTTTTACAACAAGGAAAGGAGCTCTTTTGTTATTCTCAGAAGACATGCTGCTTCACAGTAAACATGGACATGGGCACAGAAAGCACAGGAAAAGGAGGCATCATGTCCATTCTAAGAGCTTGGATGATATAGACTTCAGAACAGTGGAAGATTTTACAAAGTCCATATTAGCGTATGGAGGATCGGTGAGTATGAGTGAAACAGGATTACTAAAGGAAGAGTTAATTAATGCAGCTGTCATTAGATATTTCTAAGTAAGTGGTTATAACTTAGATTTGAGATTGCTCAAAAGACGAAATAATTCAATCAGCTTTTAACTAAATTTTTCAAAGAATTTTTTGTATAGCTACTTAATTTAACCTATTTTAAACTGTGAGAGTATGAGTACAAAAGTATATATATTATATTATATTATATTATATTATATTATATTATATTATATTATATTATATTATATTATATTATATTATATTATAAGTGGTAGCCCCACTATTTGTTCAGGTTAGAATATTTGAAGTCCAAATTTCTATACCATAGACATTCTTTAACAGTGCTAAAGTGCAGCTCTCAAGGAAAGAGTGACACATGCCTCACATAAACTTCAGGGTAAAAGTCTGCTACTTCCTCCAGTTTCACGTGAAATAGACTAGCTAGGTCATTTCATTTGGATGTGATTCAAGTCACAATGTCAGATATTTATTGTGTCATTGCAGTAATGTGCTGTATAAAAGAAGCAATCATGCATAAGCACCCATGTCCTACTATTTTGATCAGTTGTAACAATTTTCAGTTGTTAAAATTGTAATTTGATTTTTCCTGAAATAAGCATATACTAGTGAGCTTAGGGCAGGTAAGGTGCTCATGCACATGTCATGATGCAAGTGCACATTCCTACATCCCCTCTTGTAAAACTCAGTGGAAAATGAAGCCTGGGCACTGTATCTGAAACAAAAATATTTCTCATGATATATGATTTGTAATATAATGTGAAGGACTGTACCCTTGAAAAGTTGCCAGATCATCATTCAGATTAACCCCCCTTTACCAGTGTAGAGCAGAAAATATTATTTTGTTGGTAGTGCTGTTGTTGACTCAGTCATTGTAGCTTGCTGTTTTGTTAATTCACACCGGAGGCTGATATTTGTCCCATATTTACTGATGTTTACTCATGGGCTACGAGTTATGCAGGCAGCTTAGTGTTCAACACTATGTAGGGCCTCTCCCAGTGTGTTTTGTTTGCATTTCATGCATGACATAAGTATTGTTTACTGTAATCCATTCAGCCCATACGCCATTACAGAGGGCCTCTTACATTGCATTTCAGTTTAGGAAAAGAAAGGTAGAGAGTGGCCTTTTTAATGGAGTGCTTTTAGATTGCATTTCAGTTACTTAAAAGAAAAATAGAAAGTGCTCTGTTGGGGTCCTCTTTTCAGTTAGGCATTTGAATCGCAATTACAATACAATATATGTTTTCTAATGTTTGAAGTCTAGGAGCATGGTAGAATAGGTCCTAGGGCGTGATAGGTTAAATGGAAGGATTTCTAGGCAATTATTACTTATTCTCATGAGTCTTTTTAGTGGTTATTTTCAACACACAGGGAATGTACTGATTTGAACTTTCTGAAATTTTTTTCAATTCAAGTTATACTGATGCCAACGACATTTGCTGCTGAGGTTGTAAATAAAAGCATTCCTTTGAAGAAAAAAGTGACAGTGCAACAGCTTCAAAAAATGACTAATAAGATATATTTGTGATTAGAGCTATGCCGATATATACAACAAAGACTTGAACAAAGAAAAAAAGTATTATAATACTGCTAACTGCAGTAATGCTTATACAGAATGCTTATGAAATCTAAAAATACATATAAAATTAACTTAATGGTATATACTTTTTATTACATTTTGATGTATTGTTGCATTTTTACAGCCATATTCATGTCACTGTTGTTCATTGTCACTTTTGCACTTTTGTATCTCTCCAAATTGATTCCTGCCAAGCAATCTTTACAAATTTGCTTATCTTCTTGAATTTACATTTTAAAGAAAATAATCAAAATTCCAAAGACAGTTGCCAAACAACTTTATCCTTATTTTTGTAATGTATTGATTCTTTGTGAAAAGCACTCTGTCAGTAATCTTAAAATAGTTTAATTTTGACTTTTTGAGCATCTCTTCTACTTTGTTAAACCATTTCTCAATACAAATTGAAGGATTAGAAGTTTTGAAAACAATTCAGATGTTCACAATTTTCCACTTGAAGTTGAAACTCTTTCTGCATAAAATATATCTTTTTCTTCTAAAATATCTTTTTTTTTTATCAGGGCAATGATCATATCAGCCTGAAATTTTTACGTCCAGGAATGAAGGACCTTCTTCAAGAACATATGATCCGTCCAGGTTTTTCAGCACGCCGTTATCTTTCCAGCTGGACTAAATGTTTAGATGACTCCGTGCTGGGAAAACTCACTAGTCAAGGTAATATTAGCAGCCTCTGTGATTGACTGCCATAAATTGAAGTTTTACTGTGCCAGTTACAAAAAAAAAAAGTTTTATTGGCCTTGTCTTACTTTCCATGTTGATAAATTTTGAGGTTGCTTTTATATAAAGTACTTTTAAGATATATATCACGCCAATGTAATGGTCATGAATCAATAATAAATATATACAAATGACTTTAAAAGCACACATGAAAAACTACTCAGTCATCTATAATATAATTGCATTTTGTTATCTCTGTTGGGTATTTTAGAGCCCATGTTGAGTTATGAATGGTTTTCTCCAGGTTTACTTAGTGACAAGAGTCTTACGGAGACCAACCCTCTCCTGCCGAACCTACGCAGGAGAATCAATGACAATCTGTCCCAGATACCAGGTCCTTACAGACTGATGAGACAAATGCTTATGTCTCCAGGGAGCCTGTCAGGGTACATGTTTTATAGAATGAGGCCAACCACACAAGAATCAGGTACATATGATTTTATTGGGAATTATCTTGGAAAAAGGCAATTGTATTTTCTTACTGATTTTGATTTTTAGAAATGTTTGGTTTTTAACTGGTGCATTTTACTATGTTTGCTCAGTTCCATACATTACAAGATCACTTTTATTCTAATTAAGCAGCTCCATTTCAGTTCAGTCATGCAAAAAGAAGTGTATGTGTAAGATTTTTAAATATTGGACTGCATTTTTTGTAACATGGCCTCTGATTTTTTAACCAAATGGCCAGTTATTGTGTCCTATGATTAATAGGCAATTACTCTTTTATTTTAGCAATCTTAGAGGTCACAGAAAAAGATGTGACTTCAGGGGAATCCCCTGCAAGACCTGGAGATTCCGTCCAATCAAACCGTCCAGATACTCGTGGCACGATAAAGATCTTCCGCCAAGAGGGGGGAGTGACTCAGGAAGTGGACTATGACGATTTAGATAAAAAGACTAAAGAACATGTTTTAACAGATTTATTGGTCAAAAGTGCAATAAGTCATGCATTGAAAAAGCAACAGGTAAAATATAAACCAGGATTAATTTTAATAAGTCATGATTACAATCCTTCAGTTATATATTCATATTTAGGAAAAATAGATATCAGAAGACACAGGAAAAAAAGTGATTGAAATCTGTTATGATACTATACCTGTTTTTAACAAGTATTTAATTTTACTCCAGGAAATGTACGAGAAATCACTGGCAGAGAAGAGAGCGAGTATATCAACAGACGCCACTGCATTTCATATGGCAGAAGCTATTGAGGTAAGTGTACAAAAATAATAAGCTCGTTAAATATATATATATACTATGTAAAATATTCTCTACTTGAGTGAATCTTGCCTGTCACAAATTTTTACTGCAAGTTTATGATGGGCAAATACTAAAAATGTGTGTAAAACTTCTAACAGTGGAATCATGATTCATTAGGCTTAAATCTACAGGTTTGAACTTTTATAATAATAATTGTAATGTTAGTTATCTGTGTGTGAAAAATTTATTCACAAACTTGTCTCACTAACATGTTTTCAACTATTTTTAAAGTTTAAGTTAATATGCATTCAACAGTACATCTTTACAAGTTTCTAATGTGTTACATAATACTAATTTGATGTAGCCATTAATGCTTACATTTAAAAAAAGTTTGATATAAACATATGTAATTATGCCCTTTTATTTTGATAATGAAAAAGCCATGGAGAAGAAACTTAACACAACTTATATATAATGGCTTAAAAGATATTAAGGTTTGTTACAAGCCAACTCTCCTTTAAAAATAAGAAATCATTAGAGTGTGCAGTGATTTGAAGATTGTATTTTTTATCATTCTTAACCTTACCTCTATCTCCCCAGAGTTCTCTCTTTACATTTGAGTTCATTTGTTTTTCACATAGATTTGTAGAACTCATATAGGATGTTTGGTTTCCAATTTGTTTCTTCTACACTTTTGTCCAATTTTAACAGAATATCGTATGATATATGGAACTATCAGATATACATTTTATGATTTATTTTTAGAAGTATATGTTAAGAGATATTTTAATATTTTAAAAAACTGTAGACACCATAACCTACTACTAATTTGTCAGTGTGCTTAATAACTTTGGAATATAAATACATATACATCTCTTTTGGTAACCATTTCTTATCTTGTAATGCATGCCATTGAAAATACCTAAAATTTTAGATTCAGATTTAGTGCCTTTTATATTAATTATGTTAATGCATGACTGTAAGTTATCAATGTATGTACATACTAAATGTGAAGTCTTGACACCCATTTTCTTGTATAATTTGTTCTTACCTTATTGAATTGTTTTTGCAGTCTGTGTGCATTGTAATGTTGGATACTTATTTTATGTACATGTACTTCATAATTATTTGACTTCAGTTATGCATATGTTTTCATTAAATGGATGAATGAAAAATGAAAACTCTTTTTACTTATTTCCCCAAAATACCTACCTTTCAAACACAGTCTAGAATCCACCCTGTCTATAAAGTATATTCAGTTTCTCTATATTTCAAGAATTGTTGTACTCATTAGTGCAGTTAATATCATAGACATTATGGTGTAACTGGATAAAATGTTGTCTATCTCGTCATCCTACAAAATTCCTGAAAAACAGCCATTACTGTGTTACCCTAATTTTTGCAGTATTCAGTGTATGCATGTATTGTATTTACACACTAAGTCCACAAATTATGAGGAATGTCAGTTTTTATGATGTCTTTCTATGATATATTTCAGAACCTTGTGAATGACAACAGCAATCAGATAGTGATAGTGAAAGGCGCCAAGCCAGCACCACCTGAAGTAGCACCTAGTGAACAGAGTACTATGCAGCCCTCTTCAGGAGAAGGTGAGTTTTTCAGACAGGCTATTAGGCATTACTTCTACTCTGTCATTCACTGTAGGATTTTCAATTCACTCAATTCTTCCTTTAGTTATGAATTAGCAACTCATTATTTATGAATCAGACATAACATGGTCTTTCCTGGCCTCTTCATTATCTGTCTTCATTCGAGATGAATATAGACCAGTAACAGCATTCAGGTGGGAATTTTTTCCAAAAAATTTAATGACCAGACCTTGGACCTAAATATCTATTTAGGTCCAAGACCAGACAAAAGGAATGGAAAAACGCCAGACATACAGTAAAATAATAACTTCCCCAATGTTTTTGTAGTACAACAAAATATTAACTCAGTGAATGGAAATGCTGATGATGCAAGGGAAAAATAACAGAAATGCTTTCTAGAAAAGAGCATCTCTTTTTTCTTGCTCTTTTATTTTTGCCTAGTAATTGTTTAGCCTGGCGTTGACGAAACTATTCATATCCTTGAGGAATGTTGATTGATTTTGGACTCCAATTCTTGTTTGCTCTCTTAAAGCATTACATGATATGCTCACTACATAAATCAATTGACGTTATGTGTATAGAAATGCCATGGGGTATACATTTCAGATTTTGTTTAACTTAAAGAGCCTGGATGTCAAATAAACCTAAGAAATATTTTTCCAATTGCAGCATACCTGGTTATGTTTCTTGTCTCCCAGGTAGACTGTGAGCAATTAGCTAACTTATTATAACAGTAGCGAACACTTGGTTATGTAAAGATGGACTTTCAATGGAGATTATTGAGTCTGTGAAGCAATTTCATGCATGGTTGGAAAGAATTAAATAGATCAATAATTGGCAGTTAAATGAGACGTTAGGTAACATTGATTCATTAAGCTCAATATGAGGTGGATTAATTATGGCACAGTGTGTATATTTGTCCAAGCCATTAATATGCCCCATTTTAAAATGGCCTTTCTGGTTAAAAGAATTAAAACATATGTTTTAGACTATAATTCTTACTTTCCTATCTTCATGTTTATATATATATACATTGTATTCTCTAATTTTCTGTCTAACATCTTTCAGAATTTAAGTGTACACAGACAGTTTCTTATTTCAGTTTAATAAAATTGCAGATTATGTTATGTATTGAAATGTTGTTGAACATTTTATTACTGATTCGTGTATAGAAATCTGGACAAATAAATGATCAACCTAAACTTTGAATAATTTAAGGACCAAAAAGAAAAAAATCCACAATGCAATTTATCTATTTATTGTTTCAGATCAATCTGCTGGTTGGCCTGATATTAATGAACAAGATCTAAAAAAATCTTCTGGAAAGGGCAGTGCAGCCAGTTCAAAGATGTCTGCAGCTTCTCTCTCCAAACTTCCTGCAGCAGCACCTGCTCCTTCAGTGGACATGCTGCCCTCTGCTGGGAAGGGGGAGTTTTCCAAAGCCCCAGTCTTGCCTCCCATTCAAGCTGGTCTTACAGCACAAGGTGAGAACATGAAATAGCCATTACATATATTTTAGTGCAATCAGTGATGTAGATCATTTTTGTAATATCTTAATTTGTTTTTGAAATATAATTTAATGAATGATATGACATCATAAGCAATTGATCATTAGTGGCGTCTTCATTATTTTAAACTACAACTAATCAGCATGTAGTGTTCTTTACCTTTAAATATCACTGACATGGACTATTGATTTTTATTTAGGACCTGGAGTTGTACCTCACGTCCATATCGAACCTCCAACGCCACAGCAGTCAATTCTTGCCTCCAGAGAGCAGACCAACCTCACCCGCACCGCCAGCCAGATGACCAATAGCAGGCTGGAGGAACATGATGGTAGGGTCATATCTGGTTGAGTTTTTATTGTTGTGATATCCTGTGTACACTTTCAGTTAATCTATTAATGTATCTGTGCTCTTTGAAGTAACATAACATATTTTAAAACTACATTATAGGAAGTTGAATATTAGCCAGTAACTCATTTCATCTCATTTTTTGAAAAGTATGCAGACATTTTGGTTAATTTTTAAAAAATATTTAGTGATACTGTGATAGTCAACAGTAAAATAGTAATAGCTGATATGTGAAAGTGGTTTTACTATGTGAAATTTGTTGAAATGTTTATATACATATAAACAAAAGAAAAGAAATTTAACATTTATGCTGTATCTGGTATACTTACATATTCTGCACAATCTTTACATTGACAAAAATAGAAACATTAAAAATATAATTGAACATAAAGTTTTGCTTAATTGTGTTATGTTATCTAGAGTGCATATTACCTCTAATAATGATCCAAACAATATTACAGAAGAAGATGAGGGGTTGGAAGACCAAGAGGAGCAGGAGCAATGGGCAACACATGTTGATGAGGAAGAAATAATGAAGAAAGCAAATGAGAAATCAGCTGAGAAGAAATCAAGAGTACCTCTCAGTGCAAGGAGCAGTAGAAGTAAAGGTAAAAAGGATATATATCATTATATTACAGAACAGTGGGTGGTATTATAAAATTCAGAGTATTTGAAAATGCTTATGAGTTATAAAAACTGAAACTATATTAGAGGTAAGATCTTTGTCTGATTTAAAGAAAGTCACAACAGCCTTCTCTGTAGCATTTTTTACATTTAAGAGCTTTAATTACAAAAGAGTAAAGGTATGCTGGGCAATTCTGTGAAATGCTATGTAATAAATTGAAGGTATTATACTAGAAATACATTGTATTTTAAAACACTTGAAGATGTCTTTACACCATTTGGCAATACATTCACATACAGAAACAGATAAAGTATCAAAATTGAGATATGGTGTATATGAAGGTAAACTTGTCTCTTTCATCTCACAGGGCCTATGGCTGCAGGAGGTCCCCACCTACACAGCAGTGCAGAGTCTCTCAGTGCTTCCCTGAACTCCCTGGATGACCTTCCCAGGGTGCACTCAGCAAGGTCAGGGTTCAAGGCCAGTCCTCTGGGTTCTGTGACCGGAAAAAGTGTATCTTCCAAGAAATGTAAGTTGAAGATGTTTACAGGTCAAGAAGATTATTGTTTCGCTTTTTACTTCAAAGAGTTAACACACATGCTGAAAAAAGTTAAATTAAGAATGGGCATTATTCAGCTCAGGTCTAGTCCACCATCTTAACAAACGCAATTCATCCAAAGGATTACATCTGGGTAGTTATTACTTAGTGAGCAGAATATTATTTTCTAGAGGTGAACTCCTGTTGGGCTGGTAACTTTCATCTAATGAAACATTGCAATGCAAATACATTTTGCTCTTGTTTGTTTTGAACAACTTTTGACAGAGTTTAGCACTTTATCTGAGTGTATTCCAAGGTTATATAAGACCACCTCTCTGAAGTTCTTTTAAAAAGTTCACGGTCATTAAAATATTGTCATCTACTTCATAGCTATTGGAAGTGCCCAGAGCTATGCCAGCCATAGGAGTCACAAGAGTACAAAGAGTGATGACTCACATAAAGGCAGTGTGGTACTTCTGAATGGAGGAGCACTGTCTATTGGTGGTGCTGTAATCATGAAACCCAAGGATTCTGAGGAACATCTGGCTGTAGAAGTAGGGGGAGGAGGTGGGTATACTGTGGTTTGTATGACTGTTGAGATGTATGCTATATTGTGTGAGGCTCTACATTGTGAAAAACAAGAAACATTGCTGAATCGTCACATCAAAAAAAAAAAAATAAATAAATAAAAATAAAAAAAAAAAATAAATAAATAAATAAATAAATAAATAAATAAATAAATAATTTCTGCTAAATACAATGTAAATTTTTTAGGTGATTTTCTTATGTAAGAAACTCTTGTTTTAATATCTTTGTGGCAACAGTGCCATATAGCTGTTGGGTTGTTAATGAGTAGTAATTAACAATAAGCAACATTAAAAATGGTTTAATTGTTTGTCCACAGATGGCAGAGATTCAGGACACCATTCGGAAGAAGAGGAAGCACCACTGCATGCATCTGGACATGCACGTGCACGTGCTGCACCTGCTGCACGTACAAAGGAAACTACGCAACAAGAAAGCAAGGTTACTGAAGGAAGTTCAGATGTAGAAAGACAATATGGGAAATACCGAGGTAGGACACCAATGCATCATAATTTAATTATCATTTACCTTGAATTTAAGTAGCTTCTTTCAGGAAATAATAATATTTTTTCTTTACAGGGTATATGTCCATAAAATTACTTTTTTCTATACTAGACATCCTAAATGACACCAAGTGAATGGTGAATTAATCCATATTTTTATACCATCTTAGAGATAGTGAGTAGTTAAAAGAATCCTGCATTTTGTTGCATTTTCATTCCCAAAATTCCTTAAAGATTTAGTGGCAACTAACAGCAGTCTGCTTTACTGAGGTTTGATTTTTCGTTTGTATTCAATTTGCATGTAATATCTGCTATTTGATGTCAGTATTGAGACATAGTTTCAACAAATGAATGTAGACATTCTTTGTCCTTATTTTGTTTGAAGATTTTAATAATACCCTTTTTTATGATCTTTTGTATTGCTTTCCACTGTGTATGAATTAATGATTTTCAAATCCTAACTTTTTTGTGTTTGAATCTTTCTTTAATTGGACAGCTGTAGACTTTCACGGTGGTGATTTTGATGCCACGGCATCCATGTACACCTGGAGTTACAATCCCCAGGGGGAGTCCGTGTCAAAATTTGGCACATCAGTGCGGTCAAGCACAATTATCACAGGTCACACAGGTAGATGGTAGAACCAATATCATAGCTGACTAAGCAGCATTAGGCTAGGCACTATATAGTTAATATGCAAATGCACGCCTGTATATGTTAACAGTGCTTTGTGATGTCACCTGCATGGGGCTATATTCTAAAGTCTGAAACCTTTTTCCATAAACATATTTTTTCATTAGAAACATGCATATGTTTTCAAATTAATTACTTAATATTCAAATGTACGAAGGTTCTAGACTTTGTAAAATATAATCCCAGGTTGATAGAACTGTTGAGAGTCAATGGCAAATACACAGTAGCTAGCTATTAGGTAGTGATGCTCTTACAAACACCAACTAAAACTTACATAAAATGGAGCTACATGCTTTAATTATTAATACAATTTTTTTTATTCCAGGTGGCTTGTTTGTAACTGATATACTTATAAGAATCATATATATACATGCATATTGATTATGAAACAGCATGAGGATTAGGGATTACTTATTATTAATCGGTTTTCTTCATTGTTTTAGTTATTACACATGTATGCCATATATTGTATATGCATCTAGCACATCATAAATCTGATTTTAGTTTAGCACCATAGCATGACATTGTTTTATCCTTTATGTATAACATTGATCTTATCTTATATACACACAGACATGAGGATAACTTTTGAGGTAGTGACAGTCCCAATTCTGTGCTGGCCTTAACTAAGTTATTTCCATTACCCTATGTTGACATATTTGATTTGTTTTTAATTATTGTATTTACAAATAAACCTTGCTAGTCCAGAGGACCTGCTTTACCAAAATTTATGCCAGTCCTCCCCTTCTTCAGGTGGTCATGACTGGCCAGACAGACAGTTTCCCCATATCTGTACACATACTTGTAATTTACTAATTGCAGTTAATACATAACAGTATATTAAGACATACTGGTATAAAACAGTACAAGTCACGGCTTCCTCTATATGTATTACTATATATGTATTACTATAGATATTGCTGTTGTATGAATGTTATGTATGAGTGCATATGGCTATTGTATTTAGAGGCCTTCAATATATGACATGGATCAGTAATGCTGCTGAGTCGTTATAATTTGTATAATTGACCTTTTAACCCTTTTATAACATTCAGTTTTATAATTGCACATGAACACCCAGTAGTTTTTTTAAATTTAATTTATTTATTATTATTATTATTTTATTTTATTATTATTTTTTTATTTGCTTGGGGACTTAAACTATCAACATAATAACATTTTTTCAGCTGACTCAGTTTCTGAGGGTTTGCCTGCCTCAGAGTATTCTGTACCACCTGCCAAGTCTTCTAACACCCCTGCAGTGTTTCTTGAGCCTGAAATTAGGGTTCAGAAGTCATTGTCACCAGGGTCTAGCTTGGGACACTCTGATGTTTTAACAGGGCTTGAAGGTACAGCATGATGTCACATGCATGTGTGATGTCACGGGGATTGCATTACCTCACTGAAATTGCTGTGATGTCACTTCAGCTGCATGACGTTTTTGCCCTGACATGCTTGATATTACTTACACTTCATGATGTTATTTTAAATGCACAGTGTCACTTTGACTGCATGAAGCCACCTTTGACACCTTTGGTTTCTGATGCTTCACTTAACTTGTTGTGCATGTTCTCTTGTGACTTTTTACACCAATATTTTGTGTTGTTAAATTTTGTTTAGAAAATGTATTTCACTTATATACCTTCATGCACTTGCTATCTTAATTTTCTTTGCTTTTTTATCTTTTAGATTCTCACTTTTTATGAGCTGAAGATTCTAATGCATGAACTACAGCACATGTATTTTTCTGTTATTATTCTCTTTTCACATGCACTTTTGTTACAGGCAACTTGTTTGAATTTGCACAAATGCTGAAGTAAAGTAAAGTCATTGTTTAGTAACTTGTATTTCATTGCTTCATTAGAGTGATTGTGTTTGTGGAAGGATATACATGTGTACTTTTATACCAGTGCTATTAGGCAAGCATTTGGTGCAAAATTTTTGCTTTGCTAAATTGCTTATTCTCTTTGGTGTTATATTAAGTGAGATTGCACAAGCACACACATACACGCATCTAAATAAAAAAAGTACTAAGATTTATATCATGCAGCTAATGAAGAACACTACATATGATATCAACGAAGACATATGCTTTTGAGAAAATGATTCATTTAAAGTAAACTTTTGGTAGAATTTTGCGCAGAGGTTATTTTAAGTAAAGACTTCAAGTTCATGTCTTTAATTTCCTGTACCAACACCAGTGTACCAGTGTCAAACACAATGTCACACTGCTTCACATCGCTATCATCACAACTACCACAATGTGACATATCTGAACACATTTGTATGTACATTCCAGCTGATAACCAGTCCCACTCTCATACCTCTGAGGCAGAAGCTGCAGCAGCAGTAACTGAGTCACAACAGGAGGCAGAGAAGAAATTGATTGAGGCACTGACTGCGCATGCTCGTGCGATCGCAGTCAGTGTTCTCAATAAGAGTGATGCAGGACAGGACCTAGAGGAGGATGCAAGGGTAGGTATATGATAATACCATGGGAGTAATGTGAAAAATTGGAAATAGTTTACCTATATTGTTATAGTTAATATACTGTACATAATGTTTTATAATGTTTTAGATCTTTGTGAAGAGAAGCTGACAGTCCTTTTATAAAATGAAATAACATTTGTGACACTGTTTTGAAAAATATGCCAGTAAAACAAACAAAAAAGTATTTACATGTATTTTTATATCACGTAGTTTAAAAGATAGAGTAACTCCAGTTGGTGGTGGAATGTTATTAGAATATTACTTCAATTAAAACCATGGATGCATGATCAATAATTGCATGATAACCACATATAACTTTCATTATTCACTCAGGAAAATTCACGGCATATTAAGTTTTCTGGTCACAATAGTAATTTATTTTATTTTATTTTTTACTTTAATTTATGATCATTATTATTATTATTATGTAGTGCATGTTAGATACAATAAGCATCACAAAGAGCTTGAATATATGTAAACTTAATTATTTTTAATTTCCATCTAAATGCATTTAAAAGAATTTACAGTGTTAATATTTTCATACATTTGCATGAATTTAACCTACATGCAGCTTCTTTTTTTTCATTTAAGTAGAAAGCAGTCTTTTAATCTAAAATCTTTGCTTACTGTCAAAATTTGGTTGCATTTTGTTTTAGCTTGCAGCTGAGTTGTGGATGGAGCGTTTGCCAACGCCAACACAAATTATTTCCCGTAGTCAGTCACTGAAAGATGTTTCATATTTAGACTATGAACATGATCATGATGAAGATGTAAGATTGAAGGGAAGAGTGTAGTGTATAATTGCACAGAATGTGGCTGTTTTCAGCACTGTGTGTTGAGTGAATTCATTGTCACAAAAAGAAAAGAAAACAAACAAACAAACAAACAAAAAAAAAATAAGAAGAAGAAGGAAAAAAATTTGTTAGATGTTCTAAAAAAAAATTCAAGATAATTATCATACTGGGTACTATTACCCTTGCATTTCATCAGCTGGATTCTGTGGAATCTTCGTTCAAATGTTGCTTTACATGAAAGGTGAAAGGCAGCCATTCCTCATAATGCTTATTACTTAACAATATTTTACTGAACAGAACAGCCAGTCACCTATCATTAAAGCACATTCTGAAATGATTACTCACTAGATGGCAGCACTGCACAGGCACCTTAACCCTAAACTTTTCCAAGAGAACAGCACATTAGAAGTGGTGTTGGGAAAATTACACTGGCACTGTACTGGTTATCTTATCTTATTTATTAGCATATGCACTCATTTTGTTTTCAGTTCATTTTTGTTGCTTCTGTTATCACTATGAATTTCATTTATTTATTTCAGTTTAGTTGATATGTTTTCAGTTCTTTATTTTTTCTCTCATATGAAGTAAAAGCACAAGTTTTGATTTATAGCAGTAGTTGATAGAGTTTTTAACAATTTAACATGACTTGATAAAAATATAAAAATTAATGATGACTGTAAACAGTAGAAGCATAATTTATAATTTTGTTGATTTGGTGTATTTTTTATGGTATAGGCTAACAGCATGCTACAACATAGTAGAGTTGAGATACACCCAGAAAAAAAGGACAACTTTTTCACTGGGACTTTTTTATGATCTTGACTCTGCAACAGTAATCAAGCTATTAATATATTAACTATATAAATGTCATGGTTTCAATGTGACTTTGTTGATTCAGGAGTTTACTTGTATTGCCATATTTCACTGACAGACATATGAATATTATGCATGAGTGATACCAATGTAATGGCATAATAAACAAAATATGACAGTTACAAATTCTGTGCACATTAGACATGCATGAGATAGATTATCATGAATGGTGGTGGTATCCTCTACTTAGTTTTTAGAAGGGATGTGGTTACAAAGCCCTACATTTTAAAAATGCTTTGCACTCTTTTCAAAAGTTTTATTCTGGTGGCAGTTACATTCCATAGCCTATTCCATTAGATGAGCTTCTAAAGCCCATACATTTTATCCAAATCTTATTTATTTTTTGATGTTTTTTTTAGGAGGCTGTGATGGAGATAGTTAAACGTAGAATGAAGAGTGCTGAACCCACCGCTGCTGAGTACAGAGATTTACTGCGTGAAACACTGGCTAGTGTGGGTAGGTGGATAACTGAAGTGACAAAATAATAGGGATAAAAGAAGTCAGGTCTTTGAAAACTGCGTATATTTTGTGATATTGCTTGTGCTCTAAGGCATTGTTTTGAATGTTTTCTTACATACATACATACTGGTACTATACATATACTTTACATGTTTGAATTTTTTGTGTTCTTTAGATAGGACTACTGTGTGTATTCCCTGCATACTTTGTTCAGTTCTAAATTGGCTTTTAAAAATTAAACATCCCATCATTTCCTTTTAGATGAAAGCTCTTTAAATTAAAAAACTTTGTTTATGTTTTGCTTTATTGCTTTATTCTTTTTATACCTTGACTATTGTGGTGATTTTTAGACCACTAGAATGTGAACTTTTCTATTAAACTATTTTCTGTCTTTATTTATTTCAATTTAATTATAAAAAATCTTGATTTTTACATCATTTTCTTCATTACGTAAATGATTCAGTGACCAAGGGCACGGGTAGTCCCAGCGTTCATTCAGTAGATGAAGTAAGTCCAGAGTTGATAGAAGCTCTGGCAAACAAGGAGGACATAAGGCCAGAAGATCTAGAAATAATTCAAAATGAGGAAGGCAAGAGTGTCATTCGCTCCAGAACACACAGTCAGAGCCATAGTCAAAGTAAAACTCAAAGTCGAAGTCAAAGTCAGACACACAGTCGTGGTCTCAGTCATGGTCATAGTGAGGCTCGTAAAGGGACTGGACGCAGTGAGGTATCCCAGCATTCTTCACATGTGTCTCAGTCTCGGCGGTCCAGTGGGAGTGCAGTGAGGAGTGCTGTGGACACACTTGAGAGGAAAGCATCAGGACAGGAAGATGGCCACGTGATGCCGGAAGGTAGACACTATACTCACTGCACACCTTGCACCAGAGAGTTAATCGCCAGCAAATTTGTTTTCGTATGCCTATGTGATGTAGGCCTAACAGCAGACAACCTGCAGTTGAAAGCAGCACCTGTACCTCTTTTACTGTGCTTGCATGAAGCATGTGTCATTTATCATCAGCACCTGCACCAAAGATTATTGTTGGTCATCTGGCTTGCACGGTTAAGGGGCTACTGTTGTCATTAGGCCCCTGTTTGTAGTGTCCAATGCCTGCATTGAAATATGCTGCAACTAAATGTCACAGTGTCATGCCTGTGTGGTCGGTAATTGCCACTTTGAGTATGCCAACATTCACTTCACCAGCACATTTGATCCTCAGCATGCTTGCCTCCAAAATGTGCCATCATTTGGATAGAAGAAAGTGTTGTCATCGTGTGTGCTGCTACCTACAGTCTTGCTATTAACAATGCATGCACTGTAATCTAAATGCCAAGCTACAAGAAAATATATGGCGTGATATGCACTAGAGAAGGCATTTTGCCAAGGTTCTGCTTGAAATTTCACTGGCACATGAACAGTTACTAACAATATACTTTTGGACAAATTGCAACATTATATTACTCACATATACTTTCCTCAGATATTATTTCCATTCCTGCATTGATAGTGCCCCATGTCTATGATAACATACAATTTGCTTGCCTTGCCAGCATAGAAAGCTGTGCTTTAACATAGTGCCTCTTCCACATAATAGCTTATCCTACATCCTTTAATTCTCATCAATAGTGACTGTTTAAATATGTATTTGTCATTAACAAGGACTTTATATTTGAACAAGAACATTTAATCAATATTGTAATATATCCTAGCTTTTGTTTCATTGAGGTAAGTTGCAAATAATGATGTTGGTTTTCATGTAGGAACTGAGGCATAAAATGAATTATTACATTACATGGTTATGTGGAGTATTATGGGCATTCACAGTAAATATTTGTATTTAAGCATCTGCTGCTGACCAAATGGAAGATGTTGATGCACAAGTAGCTTCAATGGACCTTATCCCCTATGCTCCCTTGCCACCTATAGCTACAGCTGATGACAGTAGTGCACAACCTAGTCTACCACCAGATGGCTCTGGTGAAAGCTTTAAGCCATCTGCTCCAGGAAGCCCAGCAAAGTCTTCCAAATCTGCCAAATCTGGGAAATCTGCCAAGTCTGTAAAGTTTGTAGAGAATGTTAAAGAAGAGAAAACAGATCCTGTGAAAGGAAAGAAGAAAGCATCAGCAAAGAAAGCAGGAGAGACATTAGTTGTGACAGTGACTGATGATGTAGAGCCAGAGTTGTCCAAGGAAGAAGCAGACAAAAAGGTGCTAGCAGAAGTTGCTCAGGTAAGATTCACTTTGTCCTGTTCATTGTGATTTTATGTAAATAGTTCAAAAGATTTCACACAAGTCATCATTTAAGGCTGTCAACTCAACAGAGTTATGATACTGTAGTTTACAAATTAGTGGTTGATGGGACAGCCCCTGAAAGATGCCTCATATATCAAATCTTTTATTTTACAATTATTTTTAAACAATATTCTGACAAATTTCAAAAAGTATCAGAAAAAAGACTGCATCCACCTTTGCATATTATGCCATCTACTAGGAACAGAGTTGTTTGTATTATTGTTTAATATCTGTTCACTGATTGTTTCACCATTGATTCTTTCACTTGTAGGTGTAACTGAGCTAGGGGGTAAAAGAATCATGTTTTAAAGCTTTATTTTAAATTCTTATTTTAAAAAAAATTTACAATTCTTTTTGTTATTATTATTATTATTATTATTATTATTATTATTATTATTATTATTATTATTATTATTATTATTATTGTTATTATAATTATTACTGTCAGGAACTTGCTCAAGCTGATGCCAAATCCACAAAGAGTGCAAAGAGTGATAAAAGTTCAAAAAGTGCCAAAAGTGGAAAGAGTGCTAAGAGTGCTAAAAGTGGGGCATCAAAGAAGAGTAAGACGCCTGATGACAAGAAGATATCAGAGAAAGAATTTGTTGTTGGTAAGTGGCATTAACAGATAGTGGAGTATAGACATACAGAAAGACAGATCAATACATCAATGATTATAAATGAATAGACAGATAGATATAGAAATACGTCAATTAACAAAAAGTTTGAAAAATGTAGTCTTAATCTGTAAAATAAAAAATGGCATTGTATATTTAAAATGAGTTATATTTTTGTAAATTTATTTATAGATTTGACTTGAGTTGATAATAAGGAAAAAATGATAATTGTTTCATTTTGTCATTACTGTTTCAAACTTTCAGGTAAAGTTGAGAACAAGAAAGAGTTGGAAGAACTTTATGCTCAGCCTGAAGATCCTGCTGCAAAAGGTCAGTATAACTGTCTGCATGGACTACAATAATCATTTCATATATTAGAAACATTTCGTTTCTTAATGTAACTTACATCATTGTCTATGTTTATGTACGTTTTGACTTCGTAGTTAACTTGTGCATGTGTGGAATCTTTTATAGTATATCTTACAACCCTTTTATTAATGTATTCTGTATTCCTAGTAAAGTGAGTGATCTATACTATCTTATACATTTTGCATGCCTATAATATTAGAATATTAACTTATTGGTATATATTCATAGATGAACCTTTAATAAATTTGCAAATATATGTAATGATAATTAACTTTTTTTGAATATTAATAAATATAGATATTATTAATATTCTGTTGCATCAGGGAGTCAAGTTTTAACACCCATTAACAAAAAGGGTGGAGGTGAGAGAGAGTAGGGTGAAATAATGGGGAATTTCTGCATGCTCCCTTGAATGTTTTATATTGAAATTGGTTGTAGTGATGTTTTTTCCCTTTGTTTTAACTGATGTGATTTTAATAATTCCCCTGCATGTTAAGATATTTTAGCATCAAACACATTCAGGGGTAGAAAAATTTAAAGAATTCATGGTGGCCTTTTGAAGCCAAAAGGTTTTAAGGTAAAAAGATCCATACTGAATTTTCTGCACATGAATAACATTTCCAGAAAATAATAAAAAACCCATTGTCAAAAAAGAACTCACACAAGAGAAATTGGCTGAGAAAGCTGCAGCAGCTGAAGCATTGGCAGACCGTTTCTTGTCTCAGTATGATTTAAGTGAGACTAAAACTGGTGGTAGGTTTAAGAAACGGGGCACTGAATGAAGTGGGCTATCTCATCCAAAGTCACTGCTTATTTTCCAATTATAAATCCTGTAGATAGGTTATAATTTTATTAATCAAAATTATTAACTAAATTGGCAAATATTATTTCAGTTATCATTTCATTAGTAAAAAATCACTAAAAATGAAGATTAAATTAAATCACTGTATATATTTGATTCTGCATTACTAACCAATTGATGTTGTAATTATTGTGCCTTGTGTTTAATATTATTTACCATTGTCACATTTGTTTGTCACTGTGTTGTCACGTGTCACTTTCAGTTAAGTCTGTCATTTGTTAACTTGCCTTTGTTCAACAGCACTGTCACATGACACATCATATGGCACAAAGCTCAGTAAACTACATTCCTTTGAATAGCATACCATTATTATTATGATGATGATGATGATGATGTACATTTGCCTGCTGGACCAGTTGCTTTCTGTATTAAATCGCAAAGTGTATTAATATATTCTAATATGAATTAAAAATTTTGAATTTGAATTATGATTTTGATTTCCATGCTTCATGCAGACTAATTTATCTTGCTATTTATATTGTTCACCTCATTACGTATATTGTGATTTTTTGCAAAAGAGTATTGGATATTGACTTATTGCTATCCCATTGACTCCATAGTTTTGCTAAAAAGTGGGCATAAATGAAGATTTTCAATGAATGATAAAATTGCAGCTTTGCCTAATATAAAGAGTTAGTTGTCAGAATATTTAAACTATACAATTTTTTTATTTTCTTCAGCATTTATATCATGTACAGTTTTTGAATGTGTTTTATTTGATAGTTTTTTAAAACTAATATTGCTTGTAATGAAACAACTCACTAAAAGTCGCATCTCTTTCATCAATAATATGGATTGGACCATGCTAGAAACATGTGCACAACTTCATTATATCATGTTACATACTTCATTTTAGATGCCAAGAAACCAAAGAAACCTTCAGTGCCTGTCGTAAGCAAGGCTAAAAAGACAGCTCCAAAAGGTAAAAAGAAGAAAGAAGCAGCACCTGCAAAGAAGTCTAAAGCAAAGAAGAAGGTAGAGGAAGCAGACGAAGATGAACCACCCAAAACCCTCACTCCTACCACAGTAATGGAGGTGAAGGCAGAGGAGGGAGAGAAAGTAAGTAGATTTACTGTATCAACCCCCATTGAACCATATACTTATTTTCAGAATGATGTCATTTCAAAATCATAATTTTTTTTACAATAAGATATACAAGAATTAAATAAAACCTATTCTAAAGTTTATTATATTTATGTTCTCTCGTAGCAGTCAGGCACAGAGTCTCCCACTCCTTCTCACACCACCACAGAGAGCTCAATGTCCTTCATCATAGTGCGGGACGAGTTTGAGGCCACACCAGAGCCAGAGGAGAAGTCAGAGACCAAGTCCAGGGTCCTGTCCTCCATCCATACTGAGAAGACAGAGGAGGAGGAGGAGGAGGGTGGAAGTGAGACTGAGGTAGGTCGAGATGAACTGTTCATCTTTATTCAGCAAGAACTGACACTTTTCTGTGGTTGGACGTTTTCTTCCTTTATATGTGTAAAAGAGAGTTTAGATAGCTCTGGAATTGTATATATTATTAAAAGACAGAGAAATGCAGAATATGTTTTCTTTTTTTAGTATGGTTATATCTTTGAATTATCTTTTAGAGAATAAAGTATTTTTATATCTGTATTTTATATTTCCCATGCTTACTGAAAAGGGTTTTATATCTGTATTGGCTTCAAGTCTGAGTTTTATTTTGATCTGCTGCAAGTGTCATAAAAATTTCAAATGAAATTGTTTTACAGTATATTTATTATTGTTCAAAATTTCTGTTTGTCTTTGTATAATGAAATGTTTTGGGGATGTTGATTTATGAATATTAGAAATATTGTAAGAAAGCAGGACATGTGATACTGCCAAATGGATATATGCCAAACTTCTAAAATTGATGAGCATTATCTTAAAGAAAATGAGATATGGGTTAAAAACAGTTACTGAAAAAATGCCTGCATAGGGACACAACCTTTGTATTTGTAGAGCTATGCAATGTTCTATCTGTTATCAAGATCCATGTTTGTTTTAGTCTGTACAGCTGAAGAACGTTACAGACAAAGCTGCCAGAGAACGAAAACGACAAGCAGACCGTGAGCGAAGAAAACAGGAAGTGGAGAGAAAGAGGAAAGAACGTGAGGAACAGATCCGGAAAGAGAAAGAAGCACAGGAGGCTAAAGAAAAGCTTTGGAAAGAAATGGAAGAAGAAAGGAGAAGGAAAGAAGAAGAGATAAGGTAAATTAAATATTTTTCTAGGCATCTTAGTGTCTAAAGTGCTATTATTTTTGGAAAGGAACGGAATGAGACCATAATTTTATTTGGATTAAGGAGCTGCAAAAAAAAAAAGTATAATGAAGTGTAAATTTTCAACAAAATAAAGGAGGTCAGTTTCAAAATGCATACCAGACATCTTAATGCGGCCAGAAAACAAATTTTAATGCTCTTTGCTAAGAAGAAACTGTGCAATTCCTTTTCACTGTGATCTAAATCATAACACACCAGTAGCCAATGTATGTTTGAAATATTGTTTTCTTTTGTAGACTACGAAAAGAACAAGCTGAAGAAGAAGAAAGACTGGCAGAGGAGAGGGAAAAGGAGGCTGAGAAAAGGCGCCTGGCAGAAATGGACCGTGAAAAGAGAATGAAGGAAGAGTATGTTAGAAAACTGGAAGAAATGAGAAAGAAGCAGAAACTGGAGGAAGAAAAGCGGAAAGGTACATGTATATGATGAAATAATGTCATGAAGATAGTTGCCTTGTTACGATGACATGTCAAAGTTAGGTAATTCTAGGCATATTATTTCATCTCAATAGATCAATCTTTTGCAGAACATAAGCAAGTTACCAGTAAGTAAAAAATCAATTATAACTTAATGACATACTTAAAATGTCAAGAACACATGTATAAGTTTTTCATGCTCACTTCATTTTTTATCTTGCAGAGTTGGAAAGGCAACGCCAAGAAGAAGAAGAAAGACTTAGGCTTGAAGAGGAGGCAATGTTGGCAACTATGGCAGAAGCTGAGCGAGAAGAATATGAAAGGAAAAAGAAAGAAGAGGCAGAACTGAGGGCTAAACGTGAAGAAGAAGAAAGGTAAGTTTTTCATGAAATGTAATATTCAAAACTCTCTACCAGGGCAACAGATTGATATTTCACTAGATATTCACAGATGATTTTTGCTAATTCATGTAATTTTTTTTCTTCTATACAGGACAAAATTTTTGCATGGAATTAATTTTATCACTCAACTGGCCTCTAGTATAGAGTAATATACAACTATTCTATGTCGAATTATTTTAATAAAATACTGATCAAATTATTTTATTAAAAATATTAAAATGCTGTTCAAAATATGTAACTTACAAAATCACCTATGGTAATTACACTCATTTAGTTCCTCAAGTTTTTAAAAAATAAGATCCAGATTTCTGTTTATTGAAAACAGCATATGAATAACATACATTCTTTAAAGTCTGACACATGCCTCAATTATCTGCTTTGATTTTTTTAGAATCAAACGTGAAGAGGAGCTCCAGAAACAAATGGAAGCTGCACAAAAATATGCTGAGGAAATGGCAAGGAAAAAAGCTGAGTTCGAGGCCAGGATGATGTTTAATCGTGGCCTCCAGGTGGAGGCTAGTGGACTGGACCACACCCAGGACATCAACAGAGCTTTTGTCTGGTCTTATTATGAACTTTTGCAGTGGCTGGGAATTGATATACCAGATTTTGAAAAACAGAAACACAATCTGGATAATTTATGAAACCTTATCTGACTGACATGTTTTGAAAAGCAGCAATGGATAATATGGTTAAAAAAATGGTTTTACTCTATCAAGTATTGGAGTGGATGGTAGTGAATGTAAGTCAGCATTTGAAAATATTGGAATAGAGAAGGATATATGGTCATGCTGTTCATAATTTATGTGATATCGACGGTGAGGAGATTGAAAAAATAGAAATACAAGGTTTTTCATCTTCCCTTTGTTTAATTTTTCTACCATGATAATAATGTTTAAATAATGTTGAACTGTATGACAGTTTTAAATAACATTATTAACCTGTGATATATCATACAGTATGTAGTTTTTGAAGTACAAGGTCAGATTGTATTTGTATAGTTTTTGTATTTTACGTATACATGTAGAATTGTATAATTTTTTGAAAGCCATATGAGCGTCAGTACTTTGGTTTTCAAGATTGAAATTAAATTTTCATTTGCAGTTGGAGTCAAAATCAACTGCAGTGAAAGGGGATTAAGTTTAAGTATGAATTGCATTTTGAGAAGTTGTTGATTTTGAAGTCTTTTACTGGATCTATTTTATGATATATTTTTGATGGTTAAAGGTATAAACTGCTATGTTTTACGTTTCTTTGTATGCAAATATTATACAAGCAAATATAGTGTCTGAAAAATTGGGAATATCTGTGTACACAAGGTATTTATGGTCATGAAACAGGAAAGAATTGCAATCAGGTGATTGTAAGGTTTTTATATGTAGTTGCATTTATTTAAGGTAAATACCATATAAATGTAAAAAGCAATTTAAACCCAACTAATACTTTAAGTTAGTGAAAATTACTATCACTAAATTGGCCTCTTCTTAAACCATTTTAACTTAATTTGTACAGGCATTTTCCCTTTACAGCTTATGCAAATGCTATTCACCAAAATAGATATAAGTTTGCTTCCAAACAAAAATTTGATAGAGAACTGTTAAAATATTTTAATGCTGGATATTGGAGCAGATAATAAAATATATTTTCAAAAAATTAACTTATCACGTTTTTATTTAAATGACTTGAAGCATGATCTATTATGTCATGGTGGTATAGACAAACCGTTTTTTTTTTTTTTTCAAAAAATTAAGAAGATCAATACATATCAATAAAATCAGTTTAAACTGTTATCTTCGTATTTTTAAATTAAAATTCTCTTTGGGGAAATAAACTGTGTAGATCCATACGAATAACTATTTTGTTTGGGAAATGTGCTAGAGGAGCAAAAAAAGAATGTGCTTGGAGGAGCAAGGTCAAGGTCACCCCTACAAATGCTTCCGCTATGTCATCTGCAACTAAATACGCTTGTTGATCGGAGTGGCACAGCAGCCTCTACAACAGCAGATCCAACCGTCCCTTATAATGGTTTAAAATAGTCTATTAGAGATACAGCCATGGAAGGAGATATTAAGAATACCCTAGACACTGTAGCAGTTGAGAAATTGTCTACGGAAAAACGGGATCGTAAGTTTTTCAGTCGTTTTTACTATTTGTACCGTCTAGTAATATTACTATCAGTATCATCAATCGTAAGCCTGCTCGAGTACCGAGTCCAGGTCGTTGCCATATGGTAATTACACTGACAGTGGAAGCGGCTTCGTAAGAGTTTGATTAAATTTGTGGAAAGTAATGTATTTTAGAATTTTTTTTCGTAGACATTGTAGGGGAGGTTTGCCATTTTAGTTTTCAACAAAAATGTGGTTGGTCACCAGCTGTTTTGTTTTGAGAATATTTTTTTTTCAATCAACAGGACATGGACCACAATCCATAAGTTTGATCACCTATACTAAATCATGAAAGTTTGAAAATTTTTAATATCTAAGAATTATATGACAAAATTTTCGTGTGCATCATCCTTTCGGAATAAGTCCAATTAGGATATTTGATACTTTCTGAACTGTAAACCAAAATCTTTTTAATTCATCGGTTTGGTCTCCAAACATTAATGCACCACAAAGATGTTTATAGACCATACAGATGAGTGTTAATTTATGTTAAGGATAGTGGCATTGCACTTGAATCTACTTAAGATCTAGTATTTGTTACTGACAATTTAGTTTATGACTGACCAGTGATTTAATTTCCATTTTTTGGGTTTTCTATTAATTAATAAAATAGAAATTATGAAACATTGTTATCTTTTTGCATCTTGAAAATTGACAACTATATAAGCAGTTTATGAATTGTATTTCAGATGATGTACTACAGTAGTCTGTTTAAATTATTAAATGACAAAGTATAATGTGACATATTTATAATGTAGTATTGTTTATAGAGTGCTGACCATGAAATGATGATAAGTAGCCAAGTTTTTGTTCATTGAAATAATTGGTTCTTAATTATTTTGTGAATAATAATAATTTAAAGTTTATTCAACCATTGTATATATATATATTATAAAATGCACATAAAATGGAAACTTTTTTGCCATCTCAGGTTTAAGAAGAATCAAATAGATAAATTAAAATGAAATAAAATAGTACAAAACAATACCAACAAAAAAGAATGGTCAAAAGTAATTATTATGTTTTACTAATAAAAAGAGATGTAGCAAGTGGATAAAAGCTATTTTTAAAACCATTTGCTTCATCTTAAAGTTACAAATCTACATTTGCTTTGGAGAAATTTAAAAAATTTGTGAGCAGGGTGAGTGGTATGCAGGGTGAGTGGTAGGATGTCATTTCAGTGAATTTTTTCTTGGTTACATATTGCTGTTAGCAAGGAGTTACTATAAGCAACTCCTGGCTATTTGTATAAAATGTGTATATATACAGAGAGTCGTATGTGCACGTACTATTGTATACATGTGTGAAAAGCTTCTGGTTGACTGATAACAAAAAGATTCATTGTTATCTGGTCCAGATATTGCCAAGGGCCGTATATTATTATATCTGTTTACTCTATAGTTGGCAAACTATTTCAGTTCTTAAATACAGGGCTATTCCACAGTATTTCCCCTCTATAGCTTTTCATATATTTATATGCAAATCTTTTTCATCTCTTTATATCTCAGATGACAGAACTAGTATTGGTAAGATAAAGAGTGTCTAAAAGTTTTCGGGCGAGAAAATATTTTGGACTCTGAGTGGAGGGTTGAAATGCTGTGGAATAGACCTGCAACATGCATATTGCATGTCAATTCAAGCATAATTTTAACATAAAATTTATGAAACCATATCAGTGATGCATTGTGGTATGTATTGTTATTACTCAAACAGTTTGATTTCCTTTATAATTACCAAATGTACACTGAATGACAAGAATATAAGAAACACAGCTTTTCATATTGATCCTGTTTTTATGTAATTTTATGCAATGCACTTGTCCTAACTGTCATAGCCAACTCATCTGAACAGATATGAAATCTGCACTTTTAACTATAAAATGAATCACTCAATCAAAAGAAAATAATCATCAAATCCAATTGTTTCTTGTTTACCATCAATTTGTGTTATTCCTGCAACCCAACGAATGGTACTTTCAGAATGTTAACCCCAGAGGAAAGTGATGATGAAACTGTGTTTGGATTATCAGATGATCTTGAAGGTGGGTGATACAATGATTGCTGGTAATTACCCACAAATTTCAAACACCATGTATTCCTTTTATTTCTGTTTTTCATGATATTTAGCTTTTTGTCATTCACAAATTAAAGCAAACCTGATTTTGATATCAACGGTTTGATTAAACTTATTTGTAAGAGTTTCAGTTGTCTATGTTGAGATGTTAGCAAAATATTCTTTATATGATGTGAGATGAATATAATAAATTTTTCTTTAAATTAAGTGAGTAATTGCTGTAACATTGATCCTCATTCACATTGAAATGCATAAAGGTGATTACAAGCAAAGATAATCGAAAACTTACAAGCAAAATATGGAATTTTTTTCTCTTCACTATTGCAATATAGTGATAGGTTCTGAGTGAGAGTGGATATCTGATATTTTGTAAAGGATACAGTACGTTAATTTATAAGTGGGGGAAAATATGCAGGGTGGCATTTTTATTAGAATATCTATATATTGGGCAAATATGTCCTATATCATGATAGTAGCTTGTATGAGGACAAAACATATCAAGAATAAAGAAACCATTTGATTGATATCTGTTTTCTAGCAACTAATCTCTTAAATAAAGAGTGCAAGACTGAAGACAACATGAGCAAGAATAGCAAAATGAAGAAAATAAAGGTAGGATATACTGGTATATATATATATATATATATATATATATATATATATATATATATATATATATATATATATACACAAAAAACGAACAAGGTTAATCTGTTCTCTCCATTATAATTTACATAAGTCCCTACAGCTGTTTTGGTCCAGAGGCCTTGTCAGGGACGCAAACAGAACAAAATATATATATTTATCATTTACAATTTATGTTTCTTTCAGTCAGTGGTGTTAACCATGGGCCACATGCCAAATGGCAGTAAAATTGAAATTAAATTTGTCTAAATTAATTCATACACTGGCCACTGTTTTAACATTCGGCCAGTACACACTTGCAACAGCCCTAGTATCCCCAAGAGGCAAGTAAGTTTCCAGGGCACACTTTTTTAATTGAAATTCGTAAATTTTGAAGTACATCTAGAGTCACAGTGGCATTTTGTTGAGTATTAGTTGACCTTTTTCATTCTCACTTGTCTTTTAGAAATTGTTGTGCAAGAGTGAGGACTATCCCACCAGCATCTTCTACATTGTCACCATGGAGTTTTGTGAAAGGTTTTCATACTATGGCATGAAAAGTGAGATTTCAGTGTTTAGGAAAAATATTTCAGTTTCAAAAAAACATTCTTGGCCTAGAATGTGCATAGTATTACTATTATATACCTTATTCTACAGTATATAGGATAGAGAACTTTGTTTTAGATATGAAGAGAAATTAGGCAATTTCTCAGTAGATTGTTAAGTTATTGTTGTCACAGATAAAATATGAACAAAATACATTTAAAGAATTGGTATCAATAGTTTTACTACTAAAAGCTGTATAACAAAATAAATAAGTATAACTAAAACTGTATAGATTTTAAAAAGATGAACATTCATACAAAACCTTGCACTTTTCAGCAATTTTGGTGATCTATTTGACCAAAAAACTTCTGTTTGATGAGAACAGTGCCACTGCCCTGTACCATATCTTTAGCATGCTGTGTTACTTCACCCCTTTATTTGGTGCTATGCTGGCTGATGGATACCTGGGAAAGTTCAAGTAAGACTCTTGTTTTATTAACTTATCTGAGTTTTCTTTTGGAAGCATTTTTTCCCCATTTTAAAGTATTTTAAAGATATAACCAAATATATTCAAGCAATACTGGTTTTGATTTGTTTGAGAATTACATATTTGATTCATTCAACAAAAGGCAATTGAATATGTAGTCATACAATGATTAAGTTGAACTGTTGTGTAATAATTAAATGGCACTTCCATGTAAGGGAAACTGCAGATGTTTGAAATTATGTTTTGTATTTTATTTGCAGGACAATTCTTTACTTGTCTATAGTATATGGCATAGGAAATTTGATCATGTCTCTTACTGCATTACCACCTCCAGAAAGGTAAGCTTATATTATACAACACTATGCCAATAATAGAACTTTAATATGGTTCATCATAAGTCAACTCACTGCATAATGACAGTGACTTGACAGTGACTTGATCATGCTGACATTAAGAGTACATAGTTTATCTTCTTTTAATGTGCAGTGTACATGTTACAAATATATGTATATTTGTTAATTTCTGTTCTAATATTCCTATGACTTCCACTGTTTTAATCCTTTTCAGTGAATGTTATACTTATCTTGATATTTTCCATTTAGATTATACTATTAAGTTTTTTAATGGTGAGTGAATCTTTGTAAAGGCATCCCTCAATAATACTTAAAAACCTAGTAATTTTAGCTGCAAGTGCATTTTCTACATTTTTCTTTATGTTCTGAGTTCTTTGACCTGACAGTGTCTATGATGATTATTTTAGAAAGCTGTGCTCAATACTTCCAATACTGTAGCACACCAGTCTAAGAAAGAAAAATAAAAAGAAACAAGAGATTCATATTTATATTTTCTGTTTTAGTATTGGTCCCTCAGTGGGGCTCTTACTTATTGGTATTGGTACGGGAGGAATTAAGCCATGTGTTTCTTCATTTGGTGGGGACCAATTCCTAGCTAACCAGGTACAGTGAACATAGCGGGGCAATTTTAGATTTTTCTAATTTTTCATTTCTGGTTATTGTCATTTTTATGTACAGACACAGATGTGTCTGTACATATAGCCATCATCTGCGTCTGTCGTCGCCGTCGGTGCCGTCGTCGCCGTGCACTTTTACCGATAACACGATAAGTGGAAAACCATTTTACCTTTTGACTTGAAACTTGCAGAACTGATGAATATTCATAATACGCAGGTCAAGTTCGAAAATCAGCATGANCCCCTTTATTTGGTGCTATGCTGGCTGATGGATACCTGGGAAAGTTCAAGTAAGACTCTTGTTTTATTAACTTATCTGAGTTTTCTTTTGGAAGCATTTTTTCCCCATTTTAAAGTATTTTAAAGATATAACCAAATATATTCAAGCAATACTGGTTTTGATTTGTTTGAGAATTACATATTTGATTCATTCAACAAAAGGCAATTGAATATGTAGTCATACAATGATTAAGTTGAACTGTTGTGTAATAATTAAATGGCACTTCCATGTAAGGGAAACTGCAGATGTTTGAAATTATGTTTTGTATTTTATTTGCAGGACAATTCTTTACTTGTCTATAGTATATGGCATAGGAAATTTGATCATGTCTCTTACTGCATTACCACCTCCAGAAAGGTAAGCTTATATTATACAACACTATGCCAATAATAGAACTTTAATATGGTTCATCATAAGTCAACTCACTGCATAATGACAGTGACTTGACAGTGACTTGATCATGCTGACATTAAGAGTACATAGTTTATCTTCTTTTAATGTGCAGTGTACATGTTACAAATATATGTATATTTGTTAATTTCTGTTCTAATATTCCTATGACTTCCACTGTTTTAATCCTTTTCAGTGAATGTTATACTTATCTTGATATTTTCCATTTAGATTATACTATTAAGTTTTTTAATGGTGAGTGAATCTTTGTAAAGGCATCCCTCAATAATACTTAAAAACCTAGTAATTTTAGCTGCAAGTGCATTTTCTACATTTTTCTTTATGTTCTGAGTTCTTTGACCTGACAGTGTCTATGATGATTATTTTAGAAAGCTGTGCTCAATACTTCCAATACTGTAGCACACCAGTCTAAGAAAGAAAAATAAAAAGAAACAAGAGATTCATATTTATATTTTCTGTTTTAGTATTGGTCCCTCAGTGGGGCTCTTACTTATTGGTATTGGTACGGGAGGAATTAAGCCATGTGTTTCTTCATTTGGTGGGGACCAATTCCTAGCTAACCAGGTACAGTGAACATAGCGGGGCAGTTTTAGATTTTTCTAATTTTTCATTTCTGGTTATTGTCATTTTTGTTATATGCTTTCTATATCGGTTGTCAAATTAGTGATGTTGCTTTCATTAAGTTTTAGATTAAGTTCAATACTAATAAAACCTAACATCAGTCAGGTTTTATGGGTGGTGTATTTTCATATAGTAGTGCATAATAATTTTTGGTGCCAGTTCTGTGCAGTATTATTTTTTGTATTGGATTTTTTTTCCTGTTGTTCCAGGCCCATCTTGTGGCTAGCTACTTCTCACTGTTCTACTTTGCTATCAATGCTGGAAGCCTCATCTCCACCTTCATTACACCAGTGCTCAGAGGTGAGCTGGTCTGCTGGAGTCACATAACTGTTGAGAGTTGTTTTTCATTAAATAAGTTCCAAGTTAATTCTTTTAATGGTCAGCAGATTTTGCTTTTTATGTCAATGGAATTGTTTTAAGGTAAATTTCCCTTCTGAGTTGGTTATGCTTGCACCATCCCATTATACAGATAGATGTATCTATCCAAATAACAGACAGATCTATCCAAATAACAGACATGGAAACAAAAATCAATGTTACGCCTTTGGTTTTTGATTGATGCTTGTTAAATTTACTGCTCACATGGCAGTGACTGTGATATGGTAGTGGTATCCAACTGTGTGTTCAAATCCATTGTTTTTGTATAGAAAATATAAGATACACAAGTCTGTAGTAAATTAAAGAAATGAATAAGCAGCAGTGAAAAGGAATAATTTTAACCAATAACTGAATGACTTTTATGATTATAAGATTTAATTGATGACTTTATATCATAGAATAATATATTTATTTCAGCTGATGTCCACTGCCTTGGAGCCAATGATTGTTATCTCTTGGCCTTTGGTATGCCTGCAGCACTGATGATCGTAGCTTTATGTGAGTAGTAGGCTCAAAACAGCTTATCTTTCTGAGAGTTTTATGAAGCTACTACTTTGAAGATCATTGTAAATATTACATTTCACAGTGTGATGGGTTTTCCCTGTATGTAACATTTTTTGACTTATAACCTATAGTGTGTTTGTTGTAGAAGAATAGAATGTTGTTCTTATTGCTAAAATGAATGGCGTGTAATACGAGATTATTGATTATATTATAGTTCAAGTGTTTCTTATATATGCGTAGGAGACAACACAAAGCATAGTCAAAGGTAAATATGATAACTGCGTATTAAAATGATACACATCATTTCACATATTAAACCATTTTGTCATATCTTTTGTTGTAGTGGTTTTTGTTTGTGGAAAGTCTTCTTATAAGATCAACCCACCCACTGGTAACCTTCTGGGAAAAGTTTTCAAATGTATTGGGGTGAGTTTGCAAAGACACATAAAACCTCTCTCATCATTCCTTCACAGCACGTAATGGATATGCTAATGGTTTCTTTAAAAAATTACAATGATAACTATTTGATCAAAATTTTACAAGTACTTTAGAAGTATTGACTGTTCTTTGGTGTTAGATCTTGTAAAATATCATGTCTGTTAATTTATCTTTATCATAATTCACAGTCATCTTCATTGATAAGTAAGTGCTCACTGAAGTAGGGAACTTAATAATTCAAGCTGTATGATTAAATTTGGATTGATATATAATATCTGTTAAGAATATTGTGGTATTTACTGTGGAATTTATTGTTTCAGAGAGCAATCAAAAATAAATTTAGCAGACAAAATAAGTTTGAAATGCGGGACCATTGGTTAGACTACGCAGATGATGTCTATGAAGTAAGCAGTGCACGCATGCATAAGCACACACACACATTTATGAATGATATTTTCTGTTTCACTTTAGTATGATGACGTTAATTTATTAAATATTTTTACCAGCTTAAATCCATAAACAATAACTTGGATATGTGCATTCCATTATTCACAATTTTGCACTTTTATTTTTAGAGCAGCTTCATAGAAGATGTGAAAGCAGCATTACATGTGCTCTTTATGTTTCTTCCCTTGCCCATTTTCTGGTCTCTTTTTGACCAGCAGGGGTCAAGATGGACACTACAGGCAGAGAAAATGGATGGACAGGTTAATATTTCAAGGACAAGCTGATTATCATTCACAAATAAATAAATAAATAAATAAATAAATAAATAAATAAATAAAAGGTAAAATTTTTTATATTAACTTTCAAAAGGGATTTAGTTTTTTTCTCCTTTATGTTTTTGATTTCCCATTATTGTTGTTGTTGAAAAAAGCATGCTTGCATGCATTTTAAATTACAGATAATTTTACTCATTGCAGCACCTTATATTGTCTTTTTTTCCATTTAAGATTGTTGGATCATGGATTCTCAAACCAGATCAGATGCAGGTAATAAATTTCTATGGCCCCATTCAGAATTGGAGATCTGAGGGTCAACTATGGCGACCCACTACAAAGCTTGCCATCTAATCTGCTAATAGACACTGAATAGATATCCCATGGGGAAGCATTCGAGTGGGTTGTTCATATTTGACCCTTGGACTTGTTAGTCCACTGTTCTGAATGAATGCAGCCTATGGTCAAATCATTTATACATAAGCTCTTTAATTTGAATAAAACATTGTGCTCATACCAGTAGCAATATTTGCTGGAAATTAGTCAAGGAATAGCTCAAATTATTGTCAGTTTTGTCAGTGATACTATTTGATTTACTATGGATATTAGTGTCAGCCATCTTGGATTGTAAATGGGCACTTGATCACAGCTTGTTAGATATCCATGTATTTATTTTGAACATCTTTCTCTTCAGGTGATAAATCCAGTGCTTATAATACTGCTCATTCCATTTTTTGAAACTCTTGTTTATCCTTGTCTGGACAAGTGTAAAATTCCAAACAGGTAATGAAGACCAAGTCACAATGTAAACAGTGAGACAAATTAATGGTGAATAATCACAAGTTTTAAAGAAAATTCCAGCAGACCAATTTTCATAGTAAAACATCTCAGCTACTGGCAAAAACATGCTTTTTGACCAAATTCTTTTTGTATCACCTTGAGTATTTACTACCAAATAATTTTCAAAAATAAATCAGTAGTTGCATGCTTATTAAGTAATAATGGAATAGGTAAGCTTTTATAGAAATGTTTTTATACATCATTGCATTTCAATCAACTATTTTTTTTAGAAATGCTTTATCTCTTGAAAAACTGTGCAAACATTTATTAACGAAAGTCATTCAGGCAAATGATAAATTGTTCCAAAAGATTTTAAAATATGGAAATGGTAATGCTCCAGGCCACTCCAGAGGATGTGTATGGGGATGCTCTTTGCCGGATGTGCCTTCATTATAGCAGGCTTTGTACAGATCAAGATAGATGTGAGTAAAGGCCTGTAGTCTGTCTATTCCTTTGGTATTTACTTAACTCATACAAATCATAATAGACAATACTAATGGTTTGAGCTTCAATTTTATAGTAGGTATTGTACAAATGGAGAAAGATGCATGATGTACCCCCACCCCCCACCCCCAAGCATATGTGTATGTGTTTAGATATGTGGTGCTAGAGCAAGTGTGGCTTTTGAAAAAGATGTTTTAAATGAAAAATCCTGACATGCTGTGTTTTCAGAGCACAATAGAGCCTCCTTTAGACCAGGGTCAGTCTAAGCTGTCCTATATAAATGCCTTGTCCTGCCCTGTCAACATATCTAGTAGCTTTTATAATGGGACCTTGGACTACACACAGGTAAGTTGTTGAACATCTTTGGAGGACTCCACATTATACAAGTCCGAGAATTTATTAAACATAGTGGGTCTTGCATTCATGTGATATATACCTATTTGCAAGGTACATTTAGTTTGATTGCAATTGTTTGAAATATCCACCTTATTTATAAATACACATAATTCTATGTTTGATGGCAATTTATCCCCCCTATACATATTGAAATATTACTGGAGAAGACATTTATTTAATTTAATTTAATTTTCTCCGTAGGGTGCTGGCCCAATAAAGATAAAGAGTGGCAACTATAGTGTCAAGTTCTCAGCATCTTGTGCCAGCCCTCAAGAAGTGCAATTTCCCCTGAACCTGCAGAGTCAGAAAGGTTATGAAACGGTGATAGCCAACAATGGAGGGCAACTAAAAGCTTCACGGCTAGATGATCATTTAGATAAACCCAAAAAAGGACAGGCTTTAATAAGGTAAATTTTTACACAGACGCACATGGCAGACATCTTTCCAGCACTGCCCAGACTTGGTAACTTGTTTTATATCTGCTTTTTGTATCTGCTTTTTTTATGTACAGACACAGATG